TTTCTTTCAGTGGCACAAGACAATGTTACTTTGCAACCACAAAGGAAACGTGATCGTCTAGAAACAGTATCTGTAAGTCCAAAGCGGAGAAATCCCACACTTTATAAAAGAACCAAAAAGTATTTTTTTAAAAAGATACAAAGCAACCATCAAGCAAAAAGGAATATTCTTGCCACTGAATTGATCTGTCTCTCCAGGAAAATGGAGACATGCGATCCCCCAGGAATGGTTGAACTACAACTCCCATCCTCACCATCTCTGTTGGTTTGAGAGCCATCCAATAACAGGCCTTTCAATAAGAGCTGCATTAAGATTGGTAACTTTTGTTACCTGACCCACAGGTCAAGATGGTGCCCTTCCTATACTGTGGACCAAAGTAGGTTAAAGAAAACTCTTGCATTGGCAATGGGGCAGGATCTGTGTCACCTTCAAGGTCAGGAGACAACTTTAGGGGGTTCAAAGTAGGTCCGTGACCCACATTAGTCTCTCAGTTGGCCACTCCTCAGCATCTGCTGCCTGAGGGTGCATCTACACAGTAGAATTAATGTGGTTTGGGCACCACTTGAACTGTCTGGAGTCAATGCTATGGGATCCTGGAATTATTATTATTATTATTATCATCTATATCCCGCTTTTATCTCTCCCAAAGGAGACTCTGAGTGGCTTACATTAAAAGTATGACCACACTATTTAAAATAAAGAAATATGTAAGCATTAAAACAGAAGTAAACATGACAGTATTAAACATTCACAGTTAAAATCCATTTTTAGAAGCTCTGTAGCTTTCTCTGCCAAAGAGTCCCAGGATTCCATGTCCCCGAGCCAAGGTCAAGCTGCATCAATTCTATGGTGTAGACCAGTGTTTCGCAACCTGGGGGTCAGGATCCCTGGGGGGGTTGCGAGGGGGTGCCAGAGGGGTCGTCAGGAAACAACATTTTCTGTTGATTATGGGAGTTCTGTGTGGAAAGTTTGGCCCAATTTGATGGTTGGTGGGGTTCAGAATGCTCTTCGATTGTAAATGAACTATAAATCCCAGCAACTACAACTCTCAAATTTTAAGTCTATTTTCCCCAACCAAACTCCGCCAGTGCTCACATTCGGGCATACTGATTATTCGGGCATATTGAGTATTCAGGAGAAAATGCTTCTAGAATATGGCCATACAGCCCAAAAAACCTACAACAACCCAGTGATTTGGGCCATGAAAGCCTTCAACAATACATATTTGTGCCAAGTTTGATCCAGATCCATCATTGTTTGAGTCCACAGTGCTCTCTGGATGTAGGTGAACTACAACTTCAGAACTCAAGGTCTATGCACACCAAACCCTTCCAGTATTTTCTGTTGTTCATGGGAGTTCTGTGTTCCAAGTCTGGTTCAATTCCTTCGTTGGTGGGAGTTTGGAAAGCTCTTTGATTGTAGGTGAACTATAAATCCCAGCAACTACAACTCCCAAATGACAAAATCAATCCTCCCCCCAACCCCACCAGTATTCCAACTTGGGCGTATTGGGTATTTGTGCCAAATTTGGTCCAGTGAATGAAAATACATCCTGCATCTCAGATATTTCCATTACAATTCATTACAGTAGCAAAATGACAGTTATGAAGTGGCAACAAAAATAATTTTAAGGTTGGGGATCACCACAACATGAGGAACTGTATTAAGGAGTCGTGGCATTAGGAAGGTCAGGAAACACTGGTGTAGACGCACCATAAGACACAGCAAGAGATTCAAATTACAAATTGCTAAACATTTGGAAAAACGTCCTGGTGGTAAGAGCAGTGGGATATGCTGCCTGGGAGTCTTCTTCTCTGGAAGTTTTTTAGCTGAGGCTGGATGGCCATCTGTTGGGAGTGCTTTGATGGTGTCATCTTTATGGAAGAATTGGGTTGAATAGGATGGCCCTGGGGGTCTCTTCCAATTCTGATTCTGTGAATTGTTCTTGCTTCACAACCAGAATCTGCGCAAAGGGTGAGCTGATACACAAACGGATCTCTGGAGGCAATATTGAAGACATGCATTAAGACACCCAGGCCCTTTGATGACATCCAGCAATGGCTTCTTCCTAATGTGATGAACACAGTGGGTTACCACTTCTGAAGTGTATGACTCAGTGGAATTTAATAAATGTGATTAAGTGGTAACTCTCCTTCTCCTGGTTTGTTTTACTTGGCTCTGGACAGACTGTGTTAGCATCTTGAGTGCTGAGCTGTTTTGATTCATGCTAACTGTGGTTCTGCAAAGATGTATTTACAAGTGATGCCCTAGAATTCAGATCCAAGGAATGCAATGATTGGCTCATTTGTGAAAGCAGGATCTGTGTCTTATTGCCTGCTCTGTCATGGGTAAGTGAAATAATCCAACTTCCCCTGTCTATAGCCGAGAGCAATCCTAAGAATTTCTGAATGAACGGCTCAACAGTCAACACAAATAGGCCACTTTGTCTCTTCCAGTGACTAAAAACAACATCCCTGAGGTCACCCAGGAACACTGTGATTTATTGTGCTTCCCGCATGCCCGTTTCTTCAAGCATCATAGAATAAGACATTTATTTGTCTATTAATCCAGAAAAAAAGGAAGCATGAATTTCAACCCAGCCCTTCGACATGGAAAGAATTAAAACAAAATGCAAAAATCAAAACCAAAGCACAACAAATCACTTCCTGGGGGAAAAGCCTGAAGGATATTTAAAAATACAACAAGTATATTCATCTGAAAGTCATAGAATTGTAGAGTTGGAAGAGACCCAGTCCAACCTCCTGCCAAGAAGCTGAAAAATCGCATTTAAAGCATCCTCAACAGATGGCCATCCAGCCTCTGCTTAAAAGCCTCCAAAGAAGGCGCCTCCACCACAGCCATACAATTCACCCGCTGTTCACAGCATGGCACAACAGGATCCTACATTAAATTCCCGCATAAGAGCAGTGTTTTCCTGCTCACAGAATACTTTGCTTTGTTCTGTTTCTTCAGGGTGCAGCTACACTGTAGAAGTAATGCAGTTTGACACCACTTTGCCTGCCATGGCTCAATGCTATGGAATACTTGGAGTTGTACTTTGGTGAGGCGATGAAGGCAAAAGACCTTGTAAAACTATAATGGCCATGATCCCATAATATTGAGTAGTAGCAGTTAAAGTAGTGTCAAACTGCATTAATTCTGCAGTGTAGATGCACCCTCAAATGTGTTCAGTGGTTTTTATAGGACTACCCCTCCATCCTATGACTATTTAACACTTCCTATTAGTGGATTTTCAAAAGGGAAGAGCATCTATCTTAGGTTTGCTCCAGCCAAACAACCAATCCAATTATTTTAATACGCATTGACTTGAGCACAAATGCTTCCTGAGATGAATGGAGTACAATCATGGGGCTTCAGTGTGTACATTTTATGGCAGAACTGATTAGGACAGGGGTCCTCAAACTTTTTAAACAGAGGGCCAGATCACAGTCCCTCAAACTGTTGGAGGGCTGGATTATAATTTGAAAAAAGCATGAATGTATCCCTATGTGCACTGCGCATATCTTATTTGTAGTGCAAAGAAACACTTAAAAACAATACAATAATTAAAATGAAGAACAATTTCAACAAATATAAACTTATTAGTATTTCAATGGGAAGTGTGGGCCTGTTTTTGGCTGTTTGTTTGTCATGTCAGGAGCGACTTGAGAAACTGCAAGTCGTTTCTGGTGTGAGAGAATTGGCCGTTTGCAAGGACGTTGCCCAGGGGACGCCAGAATGTTTTGATCTTTTACCATCCTTGTGGGAGGCTTCTCTCACAAAGCTGACAAAGGGAGCTCATCCACGCTCTCTCCGGATTCGAACCTGCGACCTGTGGGTCTTCAGTCCTGCCGTCACAGGGGTTTAACACTGCGCCACCAGGGGCTCCTTTTGGCTGCTTTTGGCTGCTTTTGGCTGCTTTTGGCTAATGAGATAGGATTATTGTTGTTGTTGTGTGCTTTCAAGTCGTTTAAGACTTAGGTTGACCCTGAGTGAGGGCCGGGTAAATGACCTTGGAGGGCCGTATTTGGCCCCTGGGTCGTAGTTTGAGGGCCCCTGGTCTAGATCCAGGAAAGTAATGCTACCCCTCTATTCTGCTTTGGTAAGACCACACCTGGAATATTGTGTCCAATTCTGGGTTCCACAATTGAAGAGACATATTGACAAGCTGGAATGTGTCCAGAGGAGGGCGACTCAAATGATCAAGGGTCTGGAGAACAAGCCCTATGAGGAGCGGCTTAAGGAGCTGGGCATGTTTAGCCTGAAGAAGAGAAGGCTGAGAGGAGATATGATAGACATGTATAAATATGTGAGAGGAAGCCACAGGGAGGAGGGAGCAAGCTTGTTTTCTGCTTCCCTGGAGACTAGGACGCGGAACAATGGCTTCAAACTACAAGAAAGGAGATTCCATCTGAACATGAGGAAGAACTTCCTGACTGTGAGAGCTGTTCAGCAGTGGAACTCTCTGCCCCGGAGTGTGGTGGAGGCTCCTTCTTTGGAAGCTTTTAAACAGAGGCTGGACGGCCATCTGTCAGGGGTGATTTGAATGCAATATTCCTGCTTCTTGGCAGGGGGTTGGACTGGATGGCCCATGAGGTCTCTTCCAACTCTTTGATTCTATAATTCTATGATTAATTATTATAACCCATTGAGCCGGCAGGACTGAAGACCGACAGGCTGGAGGTTCGAATCTGAGGAGAGCGTGGATGAGCTCCCTCTTGTCAGCTCCAGCTGTTAGGAATGGTGGGAGTTGGATTCCAAAACACCCGGAGGGAGGGCCCAAGCTTGCCCCTGCCTGCTTCTCGAGTGCTGGGAGTGGTAGTGCTGGTGGTGGTGTGCCTTTCCTTTCTTTCCCTGCCAAAGAGGGCTGCGGCAAAGGAGCAAGGAGGGAAGGAGGCCGGATCTGGGGCGACGTGCGGCTTCCTCCGAGGCCGGAGCCGGGCCTGCCCCTCCCTCCCTCCCTCCCTCCCTCCCTGAGGAGGCGGGCTCGGGCGAAGAGGAGGCGTCGTCGTCGTCGTTGTCGTCGGCGGGTCTGTCGGCGTGTGCGCGCCGCTCGATGCGGGCCTGGCCCGGGCAAGGGAGGATGGCGGGCTGGCGGGCCTCTCCGGCGTTGGCCAAGGAGGCCTCGGAGCTGACGGTGATGGACGTCTACGACATCGCCTCGGCCGTGGGCCAGGAGTTCGAGCGCCTGGGCGACCAGCACGGCGGGGAGGCGCTGGCCCGGCTCATGCCGCCGGTGGTGCGGGTGCTGGAGCTGCTGGAGGCCCTGGTCGGGCGCGAGCACGTCCCCCCGGAGCTCCAGGAGCTGCGCCTCGAGCTCGACCGACTCCGCCTCGAGCGCGCAGACCGCATCGAGAAGGAGCGCAAGCACCAGAAGGTCGGTCCGCCGCCCCCGCCCCCGCCGCCTTGGCCACCCCGCCGCGAGGGAGGCATCCCGCCCCTCGCCCCTCAGTCTGTCCCAAGTGGAGGGAAGATGAAGCCATTCTTCATTGAACATCCTCCATTCCTAATTATCATTTAGTCATCATTCATAAAGTATCAATTAATTCTTAATTAGTATAGTATTCATTCATAAAGTATGAATTAAAAAGGTAGCCACTAATTATTCATTATTATTGTTTGTTAATTTATTAAGTATTAATACATAGTTAATTAAATAATAATCAATCATTAATTAACGAATAATGATTGATTAGTCCTTAATTCATGCTTAATTCATGATTATAATGGATTTCTTTTTCCATGTCAGGAGTGACTTGAAAAACTACAAGTCGCTTCTGGTGTGAGAGCACTGGCCGTCTGCAAGGATGCTGCCCAGGGAACGCTCGGATGTTTTGATTTTTTACCTCCCTTGTGGGATGCTTCTCTCATGTTCCCGCATGGGGAGCCGGAGCTGACAGATGGGAGCTCACCCCAATCCTGGGATTCGAACCCCAAACTGCAAGTCACTTCTGGTGTGAGAGAGTTGGCTGTTTGCAAGGACGTTGCCCAGGGGACGCCCAGGTGTTTTTGATGTCTTACCATCCTTGTAGGAGGCTTCTCTCATGTCCCCGCATAGGGAGCTAGAGCTGACAGAGGGAGCTCATCTATACTCTTCCCCAGATTTGAACCTCCGACGTGTCGGTCTTCAGTCCTGCCGGCACATCAGTTTAACCCACTACATCACCGGGGGCTCAATGGATTATAATAATTAATTATTATAACTGATTATAAAAACTAATCATTAATTAATTAATTAATCATTACTTAATCATTAAATTTTTATTAATGAATGTATATCCTGTTCTATCTCTCCCTACCAAGACTCTTTAAGTGGCTCACAATCCAAAACCTTACTTCTCCCAATATGCAAATATGCATCAATCAAACAGTATGATCATGATATATTATATGTTGTTCTTAGTATTGTATTTAATGTATCACCTATTATTATATATTACAATATTATTATATATTATTGTATTGAATATGAATATACATATCCTTACTGTTAATTATTACTTACTATTCTGGGTTCTTAATCATGCTAATGGCCGGCATCCCAACATGCTTCTCTATGGGTGCATCTCCACTGTGAAAAGAATGCAGTTTGACTCCACTTGATTTGCCCCTGATGCAGTGCTGACAAATCCTGGGAATTCTAGTTTCACAAGGTCTCGAGCCTCCTCTGCGTGGATCCTGGGAGTTGTAGTTTGGTTGAGGCACCAGTGTACTTAAGCAGAGAAGGCTAAAGAACTTGTGAAACTACATCCTCCAGGATCCTATAGCATTGAGGCTGAGGAAAGGGCAGTGGCAACAGCCAGGGGCATCTGGCCTCTTGTGTTGCCATTGGGGCTTTCACCTCTCTTTGGAATGACCCTTGACTTATCCACGAGGCACCCCAAAATCCCTCACTCTGGCCCCAAAACCCAGCCCTCGACTTATACAAAGTCAACTTACACATGGGGATATATGGTAATTCTCTCCCGCATGGTGCTGGCTAGGTAAATAAACAGTGGCAAGAAAGGAAGGGCTCTGGGAATGGAACAGCCTCCTCCTGGGTCTCTTTGCTCCCAATTGGCCTCCCAGGGAAGACTTCTCAGAAAGGTGGCTTTCAAGGACAACAATCCCCGGAAACCTCCCATTCCGATTCTTGGGAAATTTGCCTATATGGAGGTGAACCCCTCACCCAAGGTGAACCCCTTGAAATTGAGCTGCTCCGTAGTCCCAGCACTGTCATCATTACACCGCCCTGGCTCGCTGTGCTTTATTTGTCTCCTTTCAAAGTTTGAAACTTATCCCTGGGTTGGAGATCTCAAGTTCTGAGGCTTGGAAGTGTTGTCGGAATTTGGACTACAAGGGGTTTTTGGGGGTTTTTTTTGCAATGCAAGATTCTCAAAGGAAAACAAGACTTCTATACTGCAGGAAAGATAGAAAGGTGGAGAAGAAGGAAGAACAGAAGAGACGATAAAGGACAAGGGAAGAGAGTTGTCTTTTTGTCCTCTGCGTATCTTTCTCCTGGCAGAGTCACACTTTGAACTGGCATCATCCTGAGATTGGGCTGCCTGTTAAAAGAGTTGCAAAAAGCTAAAGGAAACCTCTGGAGAGATCATGGGTCTTTGACTCACTTCTCTTTCTGCCCAGAATCAGTGCGTGATGTAACAATAGCTGAGTTGTCATCTTCAGGGGGGGTGAGCATTGGCTGCTCCAAAGCGAGGCAGAATAACATTGGAATTCCTGTGCTCCTAGAAACTGGAATGTGGCACTCCAGGCAGCAGAAAGGCCTGGGCAATAGTTTCAGACAGATCCTTGAGTCTTGAGACCACTTCCGTTGTCCGACAGCCAGAACAATTGTCGCAAAAATTGGCATCCTGATCTCTTTGCGTCTGATGAAAATGGGGGCGGAGGGGTGAGAGAAAGAAAGCCTTGCCTGGATAGGAAATGGGACAACTCCTTCCCTTTGTGTGTTGCTCCCAGTAGTAGGATGGGGAAGACAGGAAACGAAGGGTGTAACTGTAGGGGGATGAAGGAAGGAAGGAAAGAAAGAAAGAAAGAAAGGAGAGAGAGAGAGAGAGATGGGTGAAAATGGCTTTCTTTTTGTGTTGTTTGCCAATGTGTTTGCTGCTGCCCAAAGTTTTTTTTTCCATCCCGTCCTGTTCAGCAGCTTTGAAAGCAAGTGAGGGGGGGGGGGCAGCATAAAAAGGAGGAATAGTGGAAGAGGGAAGAAATAAAACAGAATAGAACAAGAAAGTCCAGTTGCTCCCCATAGGAAAGCAACAGAACCGGACTCTGGGCAAGTCTTTCTGTCACTCTGTGATTTTTCAAAGAACGACAGACAATATTTGATTTGCCTAGTGAGGTTGCCAACTGATGTAAATGCTGTTTGCCCCTGTGCCCTTGATAGTAGCAGATATCCACAGGCTAAGGTTTTTCCTCTTATACAGAAGGAAAACCAGAGGTCTGCTGACCTCTGTATCAGAAGCTTCTGTTAAAAGACGCAGGAGCAATGGCTGATGAGAAAGTTGGCAAACGTCACCAGCTACAATCCAGTTCAAGGACTGCACTAGGCCCACCCAAAGTCGCTCATTCCCTGACTTTACCCATCCCCTGGAGCCCCCGGTGGCACAGTAGGTTAAACCGCTGAGCTGCTAAACTTGTTGACCAAAAGGTCACAGGTATGAATCCGGGGAACGGTGTGAGTTTCTGCTGTCAGCCTCAGCTTCTGTCAACCTAGCAGTTCAAAAACATGCAAATGTGAGTAGATCAATAGTTACTGATCCAGCGGGAAGGTAATGGCGATCCATGCAGTCATGCCGGCCACATGACCTTGAAGGTGTCTACAGACAGCGCCGGCTCTTCAGTTTAGAAATGTAGATGACCACCAACCCCCAGAGTTGGACACGACTGGACTTAATGTCAGGGAAAACCTTTACCTTTACCTACCCATCCCCTTGTAGTAGCTGCCAACTCTTTCTTCAGCCCCTTCTACACTGCCATACAATCCAGATTATCAAAGCAGATAATACACATTATCTGATTTGAACTGGATTATATGAGTCTACACTGCCATATAATCCAGTTCAAAGCAGATACTCTGGATTTTATGTGGCAGTGTAGAAGGGGCTTTAGTTGTCATGTCCTTCTGTAGGGTTGTTACTCAACGGCAGAGATTTCCAGGTTTTTGTTCCCCATTTCTGCCAGCATCTCTGGTTAAATTGGAGAAGACTCCCATTCAAGTCCAAGAAGACTCCCATTCAAGTTGCTGAAAGCCACTATAAATCACCTGTTGAAAAAAATCTGCATGATTTATAGTAGATCAGCAAGGAATTACAACTCCCAAATAATACTTTCAGCAGCAAATTGACACTACCTGCCTGTGGCAAATTATACCAGGGTAGGAAAGGAGAAGACTTTTGGACCTGTGAATGCCATTCATTTCAATAGTCTACTCACCCAAACGCCTAGGTGCAAATTGTTATGTTTCTAAATGTGTTCCTTTGACATCAGATTCTGGTTGGTGGCTTTTGAGGTTATTGCAAATCAAATATAAGAAAATAAATCCACCACTTGAATATATTACATTTTTGGGCTACACCTCCCCTAGCAAGTATGCTGCCTGAACTTACCAAAGTAACTTCTCCAGACCCTTGAGTAGATCTGTTTGCTCAGTACTGAGCCATCTTTCTTTGTCCAAGAAACTTCCATATGTATTTATTGCTACACTGACATCCCCCTTTCTTTCATTGTGAACCACAATTTAGGATCCCGAGATGGCTTTCCATCCATGCCCTGGCCTGAACCTGCTGTGCTTCAGCGAGGTTGGCTGCATCATGTGTCTTTCTAAGTGGAGGTCATTGATCAAACCCTGGAATGGTTATTTTGGACTACAGCCTCCGGAGATGTAGCCTGAGAGATAATGGGAGTTGTGAAGAAAATGAATAGCGCTTCTGAGTTCTGCTTTGGCTTGTCTGGCTCTCGAGGGGCAAAGCTGAGATAATGTGTGCTCCTCTGACCCTTTAGGAACTGGAACTGGTGGAGGATGTCTGGCGAGGGGAAGCCCAAGATCTCCTGACACAAATTGCTCAGCTCCAAGAGGAGAACAAGCAACTGATGACCAACCTCTCCCACAAGGATGTGAATTTCTCTGAAGAAGAACTCCAGAAGCATGAAGGCAAGTGGTCTGGTCAGTGATGTCACAGCTATGTCTTTGGCACTAATATTCTGCAGTGCATGCTGTGCAAAATGAGCAAAGTCTGTCCCAAAGAGATTGCTTACCATTTATAGCCTGGTATAGTAGAAGCTTGTTGAGCTTGGAAACATTTTTTCATGACCATCACTTCTCAGAAGTACCCCCTCATCCATGACTACTGGGGGGATTTTGGGCATTGTAATAATAATAATAATAATAATAATAATAATGTATTGTCAAAGGCTTTCATGGCCGGAAACACTGGGTTGTTGTGTGTTTTCTGGGCTGTATGGCCATGGTCCAGAAGCATCCTGTCCTGATGTTTTGCCTGCATCTATGGCAGGTATCCTCAGAGATTGTAAAGACTTCACAACCTCGGAGAATGCCTGCCATAGATGTAGGCAAAACATCAGGAGAAAATGCTTCTGGAACATAGCTATACAGCCCGGAAAACTCACAGCAACCCAACAACAACAACAACAACAACCACACTTTAATTATATTCCGCCCTTCTCTCCATGGGGACTCAGAGTAGATTACAGTGTAAACAGATACCGGTAAACATTCGATTTCTTGTTACAATACAATGAGACACACATTTCCAAGCCGAGGAGGCTGCATTGTCACCTCCTGGTCGTGTGACTGGCACATCTGCTTGGAGCGTCTTATGTCTTTCCCACCAAAGCGGTACCTATTTATCTACTCACATTTGCATGTTTTTGAACTGCTAGGTTGACAGGAGCTAGTGCTAACAGCAGGAGCACACCCTGTCTTGCGGATTCGAACTGCCAGCCTTCAGGTCAGCAGTTCAGCAGCACAAGGGTTTAACCCATTGTGCCACCGTGACCACAATCCAATATATAGGGTGGATGTCTCGTATGTGAAATGAACGGGGCCAGAAGTGTTGCAGATTTATTTTGCAATACCTGCATTTGTCTATGTGTCCTATCTTGGAGGTAGGACCCATGTCTAAACATGACATTCATTGCTGGTTCATATACGCCTTATGCACATCGCCTGGAGATAATTGTATACAATATTTATGCATGAAACAAAGTTTGTGCACATTGAACCACCAGATAGTAAAGGTGCCACTATCTCAGCCATGCGTGAGAACAATTTTTGGAGTATTTCAGATTTGATAATTCCAGATAAGGGATGCTGAAGCGGTATAATACTTCCAAAGCCTGAGAAAGCAAAATGGCCTGGCCTGGTATGAAGTCATAGCCTGCTGAGTGGCCTCTAACATTCAGTGGTGGCATTGGTGGGTCATCAGCAGACTTCTTTTTCTTGGTAGGGCACCATCAAGAGAAGAGTTGCCAGTTTTGTCTTCCTCCAATTTCCAATGAAAATAGCTGTCTTGGTAAGCTGTGGGTGTAGCACTTACCTTGTCAGGATTTAAGTCCCCTGGGTGGCGCGGAGGAGTAGAATGGAACATGCCCAGCAGTTACCGGTTTGCCCTTTTCTCCTGGCAAAGTCTCCTTCCTTTTGTTCTCTCAGCCTTCAGCAAGGAAGACCCAATTAGTAGATGCAGTGTCTCAGGCCATTTGGAAGGAGGTTGCATGAGCTGCCTTAAGGCTCAGACTGAACCCGTTTTTTCCTTCTTGTAATTTTTCCTTCATGGGAGGGTGACACTATTGGGTATAAATACAGCAATACAGTCTGAATAGTCTCCAAAGCCAAACAGTCATCACATTCATTATCAGTGCTTGTTATCCTTTGTCTTCTGCATTTCCTCCAGTTACTTCCAAGTCCTTGTCCTGTTCCTCCACTTTTCCATCACTGTCCTGCAAAATAGATCATATTTAGTGGTAGGGAGCGATTCCCAAGTCACTTGTAGAAGACTTGACTCTGGGGACCCTTCCCCACAGCTGAAAATCCCACATTATCTGCTTTGAGCTGGAATATATGGCAGTAAGGACTCAGATAACCCAGTTCAAAGCAGATATTGTAGGATCTGGGTTACATGGCTATGTGATAATTGTAAATATCTATGACAAAAAAGATGATCCCCAAAAGAAATACTCTTAAAGGTAGAATCCATTTTCCAGCACAGCATAAACATATTTTTTCCTTCTTCTCCAGTGAACAATTCTGAATCTCCATCTTCCTAAATAACCAGTATCAAAAATTCTGTACTAAATATTTCAACTATTTTTACTTAAATTGCAATGATCTTGGAATATCAGATATATTGTTTACAAAAGCAAGGAATGGCTTCCATATCTCCATAAGCAAATAGAGATATGGAACATATTGAGATATGGCCTGAGATGGCCACGGTGGTCCACGCCTTACCTACATCTAGAATGGACTACTGCAGTGCATTCTACGTGGGGCTGCCTTTGAAGACGGCTTGGAAAGTGCAGTTAGTGCAAAGATCAGCAGCCAGATTACTGACTGGGGCTAGCTATAGGGGCCATACCATGCCCCTATTAAAGCAGCTCTACTGGCTGCCAAAAAGTTTCCATCCCAATTCAAAGTGCAGGTTATTACCTATAAAGCCCTATACAGTTTGGGTCCAACCTATTTTTGAGATGACTTCTCCTTCTGTGAACTGGTGTGGGCTCTGAGATCTGCCAGGGAGGCCCTCCTCTTGGTCCCACTTCTGTCTCAAGCATGGTTGGTGGGGACAAGAGAGAGGGCCTTCTTGGTAGTGGCCCCCTGGCCCTGTAATGCACTCGCTAAAGAGATTAAGCTAGCCCTCACTCTCCCAAGTTTTTTGGTCAAATCTAAAAACATGGCTCTTTAAACAGGCCTTTCACCTTGATTCAAATTTTAATGGTTAAGCTCGGAGACTCAGCGATTTGCTTCACTCTAGCACTTTGGATTGATACTTGACTAAAGCCTATTTCATATCCACAGGCCCTGCTGTGTTTTATGGAATTTTAAATTTTATTAATACGGGTTTATGTGATGTTTTATGTAAAATTGTTGTGTACATTTATATTATTGTTTTATATGCTTATGTATTGTGTATTTTATGTGGGCTGCACTTCGGAGTGCTGTTGTGAGCCGTCTGGGTCCCTTCGGGGAGATGGTTGCGGGATTTAAATAAAGTTTTAAAATTATTATACTGACACAAAAACACAGTATGTCACAGCAAATGAGATCTATATGCTGGATTTCATATCACAAAATCACAAGTCGAAAACTTCCCAAGCATCTAGGACTGTGTATTTTCGAATGATGCGTGCAGATCCAAGTAAGGTGGCTTTTTGCAGTTGACAGATCATGATTTTGTCAATGTTTATTGTTTTCAAATGCCGGCTGAGATCTTTTGGCACAACACCCAGTGTGCTGATTACCTCTGGGACCACCTGTACTGGTTTATGCCAGAGCCTTTGCAGTTCGATTTTGAGGTCCTAATAATGGCTGGGTTTTTCCTGTTGTTTTTTGTCAATTCAACTGTCACCTGGTATGGTGACATCAATAATCCAAACGTTTTTCTTTTCCACAATCGTGAGGTCTGGTGTATTGTGTTCCAAAACTTTGTCAGTCTGAATTTGAAAGTCCCACAGTATTTTTGTGTGTTCATTTTCCACTACCTTTGCAGGTTTATGATCCCAATAGTTCTTTACTACTGGCAGCTGGTACTTATGACATAAATTCCAATTAATCATTTGGGCCACATAGTTGTGCCTCTGTTTGTAGTCCGTTTGTCCAATTTTCTTGCAGCAGCTGTGGATATGTGGATATGATTGCTTGCACAGTCTGCATATTATTATTATTATTTCTGTCCTAGTTCCTCCTCTAAGAACTTTGCCTTAGTGGCTAACTTTTGCCAATCCTACCACAGCTCATCAGCTTTCTGATGAGTTCAAAATATACAGTGTCCTCCTAAAAAATATACAGCATTTGTCACAACCCTATACTGTACATCCACTGTGTATTTATTTGTTACATTTCTATCTCACTTGGTCACATTTTACATAGTGTTGTAAGTAAGGCGGCCAACCAGTGATTTCTACTTTGCCTTTTCTCAACCAATGTGAAGGCGGTTGTTTAAAATGAGAAGTCACCAGAAAATTTTTAATAGTTAGAGGATGAAAAAATGACAACACTGAAATGATTTAATAGCTCCTCTCTGGATTTAAAAGCAGAAGTAGCCAAACTTGTCCTACAAAGTCTTCAAAGCAACTCTGAGGTGAGAGTCCTACAATTAGCTTTACGACAAACGCTGAATCAGGAGGCTAGCAGAGACTGCCAAGGCTTCAGTGTGGTTTAGCCAAATGTAGTGGGTACAGAATACTGGCATAAATCTAAATGCACAAAGGGAGGTCAGAGAACAGGGGGACCTATGGCTGAGGGCCATTCCAGACAGGCCCTATAACCCAGGATCTGGTCCCAGGTTTTCTGTTTATCCCAGATTATCTGGCAATGTGGATTCATATAATGCATTTTAAAGCAGAAAACCTGGGATCAGATCCTGGGATATAGGGCCTGTCTGGAAGGATCCTGAGACACCTGCCAGACAAGGGATGGTGCCCCAAGGTCCTACTAAGTGGGGTACAAAGGAATATCTGTATCATAAATGTCAAAATCTGATATTAGAGGACAGGTTATTATTAGACTAGGCATGTATTAGTAAGTAACAGTAAAGAATATGTTCAAGTTGGCTTCAAGAATGGTCTCAAATTAAGAATAACACTATATAACATTTTTTTGTTCCTGGGTTATAAATGTCATTTCCTAATTGGTTCTATCATAAAATATGAGAAATTTTTAATAAACTGCAAAAACTTTGTTTTTGTGGGACATCATACAGCACATTGTGCTCTAGTTTTTCAATAAATATCTCATAGTGTCTTAACCAATTCAACTTAGTTTGTGGCACCCACAAAAAACAAAGTTTCTGGAGTAGAACAACTACTTTCAAAGTAAGTACTGCGCAGTCAAACAGGAACAACACTGTCAAACCAGGAACAGAAAAAAAATTCAAATTGAAGAGTATAGTAAAGGAGCAAACGAGTCCAACTGGAGCACTGGAGGTTTCCCACATTGTGTGCCGAAATGCAGCTTCCCAGATCTGAGCATTTCCTGGGCCTCCAGGGCTTCGATCAAGCCAGGTGGTTTCTGAGTGGGAGAAGGCATCACCTGCCCTTCCACACCTGGCCCGAGAAGCCTTCCTCCCCCCCCCCCCCCAAATCCACCTGAGTTAAAAGTATAGGAAGAGAGAAACACTCTTGAGCGAGCTGATGAATCCTTCCTCCCCAACACAACTGGCAGCTTCAGGTTTGGATCCTTTTTTGTCCTGTGTTTGTATATTTGTGTAGGAACACTAGAACTTCATAATGGTGTTACTTGGGGATTGTTTTTCCTTATTTTAAATCCCTGGTTGGAGACAAGAAAGAATGCTCTCCCAATGTTATTGCGTCGGTGGTATGAGTTGCAAAACCAGCAACCAAAATGGGATCAAGAGGGCTGATAAAAAATTGTATTGCCCATAGAGGATTTGAAAATGGATTTTTTTTTGGTTACAATTAAGAAAGGGGAGGATTTAAATTTTGTTTAAGTGAGTGGCATGCCATTTCCATTCCACTCTTGGAGGTGGGAAGCAAACAAGCTTTGGAATAAAATGAATGCATATACAACAAATGTAGCTGTCTTAAAGTGGAATGTGTTTGTTTAGGGTTCTAGCCAGGCATGCTCTTTCCCATCACGCTCCATGTCATTCTTCCTTCTTTACTGTTTCTTCTCTTTTCTCAAGCAGATTTTTACTTATCTGTGGCTACTAAGCATATTCAGATGTCTTCGGTTTATTCTTGGTTTATTTTTTACTGAAATGGCTTTTTTTTTTTGCATAAGGTTTTTGCATTTCTGCCCATGTTGGGGTTCCCTAAGCCAAATGATAAATATCCTGATGCTGGCTCTATTAATAATGGTGTTTTCCAAACTCTGATCTTCTAGGTGATTTTGGAGTCCCAACTCCCAGAATCTCTGATCGTTGGCTGAGGCTTCTGGGAGTTGAAGTTAAAATCCCTCCAAGGACTGGAGTTTAGGAACCATTGATGGCGCCCCTTCTCCAATCCATTTGGATCAGACACAAGTAAATTTCCATTATCCCAGTCAGGAGTCATGTTAGTGTCACTCTATGGGAGTGGTAGTCAATCTGATTTGGTGAGTGTTACTTTGGGGAAATAAAAGAGATTTCCTCTAGTGAGTTCTAGGTAGGGATGTGAAGTTAACCTTGCACTCAACCACTGAGCAGACCTTGGTTGGCATCCTGGCCATTCCTGAATTCCAGGAAACTCAGTGTGCCATACTTATTTCTTCATTAATTTAATTCCTAGCTTGGATACCCAGCGTTACCCGGGTTATTAGAAGAAGTCATTTTTATAAGGTTGTGGGTGTACTATAATTCACATCATGCTAGGCTAACCCCCTGAAACTCCATCAATGCTTAAAGCTTGTTAAGGTGGGGGCAAGCTTTCTCTAGATGCATCATCGGTGGAGTTCAGTGTGCTCTCTGGCCGCGGGATGAATTACAACTTTCACTATGGTGTGTCAGTTTCGTCAAATCCCTCCAGTATGTTCAGTTGGTCATGGGGATTCTGTGTGCCAAGTTATTTATTTATTTATTTAAAACATTTATATTCTGCCCTTCTCACCCCAAAGGGGACTCAGGGCGGAGCACAGCATATACACGCCAAACATTCAATGCTGGCACACAAATTCACATACAATACATAAACATTAAAAAAACATTTATCAAAATCTAATCTAATTGGCCTGGTCATCTTTCCTATTGCCGCTTTATTGCCCTGTCCCGAAAACTTGGTCCCACAGCCAAGTTTTTACCATCCTTCTAAAGGACAGGAGGGTGGGGGCCGACCTGATCTCACCAGGAAGGGAGTTCCATAGCTGGGGAGCAATCACCAAGAAGGCTCTGTCTCTTGTCCCCACCAATCGTGCCTGTGACAGAGTGCTCTTTAATTGCAGGTGAACTATAACATCCAGTACCTACAACTAACAAATGTAAAGGCCAGTCCCCCCCCCTCAACCCACCAGAGTATTCAAATTTCGGCATATTGGGTTTGCATGCCAATTTTGGTGTAGATCCATTGATCAATGTATTGTCGAAGGCTTTCATGGCTGGAATCACGGGGTTGTTGTAGGTTTTTTGGGCTATATGGTCATGTTCTAGAAGCATTCTCTCCTGACGTTTCGCCTGCATCTATGGCAAGCATGCTCAGAGAATGCTTGCCATAGATGCAGGTGAAACGTCAGGAGAGAATCCTTCTAGAACATGGCCATAGAGCCCAAAAAACCTACAACAACCCAGATCCATTGTTGTTTGCGTGTACAGTGCTCTCTGGATGTAGGTGAACTTTTCCCCAAAGCCCTCCAATATTTTTTTGTTGGTCATGGGGGTTCTGTGTGTCAAGTGAGGACCAGGGCCATCGTAGTTGGGGTCCAGAGTGCTCTTTGATTGCAGATTAACTATAAATCCCGTTACCTACAGTGGCTATAAATCAGCGTGAATTCCCCGCAAACCCCTCCAGTATTTTTCTTTGGTCATGGGGCTTCTGTGTGCCAAATGTGGTCCAGATCCATTGCCAGTGGGGGTGACAGTGCAGGGTGAACTACAGCTTCCATCATGTGGAGTCATTCCTCAAACTCATCCAATATGTGTAGTTGTTGATTAGTTCTGCTCTGTTTGTTGTGCAGACAGAGTTGAAAAGAGTAGGAAAGGGTTAAGGGAGAGGTAGTGGGCAGGATCATGCAAATTCCACACCAGTGGAGACAGTAAGAAAGACTGGAATGTCTCTGTGGTGGAGGAAGCATGTAAAATCTAGGATGAAATTGTCCCCGTATGAAAGCCTTCACTTTGGTGGTGGGCAGTACGGTGTTTGGGGAGGACATTGGCAGGGGTTGGGCTACATGTTCATGGCGCTCACTATAACCTGAAATGTCGTTGGAGGGAGGGCTTTTGGTAGCTCCTTAGCACTGTGGGTTAAAGCGGTTTGTGGAAGTGGGCACCCCAGCCACATATACACATACACATTTTCACTTTTTGTTAGTTATATAGATATAGATATTATATTGCATTACTCCCTTTCTCTCCTTCTTCTCCTCCTTCTTCTCTTTCTTTCCTTCCTTCCCTTTTCTTCTTTCATTCTCTCCTTCCTTCCTTCTCTACCTCTTTCCTTCCTCCCCCCTTTTTCTTTTCCTTCCCCTTTTTCTCCTTTCCTCCTTCTCTACCTCTTTCCTTCCTTCCTTCGCTCTTTGCTTCCATGCTTCCTTCTCTCTTTCCTTCTTTCTTTCCCTCCCTCTTTCTCTCCTTCTTTCTTTCTTTCTCCCTCCCCTTCCTTCCCTGCTCTTCCCTCCCCTTTTTTCTGTGTTATCATTTAGCTTTTGGGGGTTTTTAAGTCCTTTCCGCCGTTTTTTTTTGGGGGGGGGTTATGAGTGATGGTCACTTGTTGGTCTGTTAGGGGTATAGTGTCCAAATTTTGTGTCAATTTGTCCTGAGGTTTTTGGGTTATGCTAATCCCACAAATGAACATTACATTTATATATATATATATATATATATATATATATATATATAGAGAGAGAGAGAGAGAGAGAGAGAGAGAGAGAGAGAGAGAGAGAGATAGATAGAGGCATAAGTATAGATATAGATTGTCTTGATCCTCAAGGAGTGGTTGGTAGTTGTTGTTGTTACTACTACTACTACTACTGCTACTAATAATAATAATATCTTACCTCTCACCCAGAAGGGAACTCATAGGCTGGATCTACACTGCCACATTCAAAGCAGATAACCTGGAATCAGAAACTGGATTATATGGCAGTGTAGATGGAACCTTAGTTCTATGTAAAGCTTTTCTAGGATACTTCTTGGAGACTTGCTGAGTTTTCAGAGTTTTGCTAAATCAAGAGCCTTCAGACCAGAGCTTGGATATAGAACTTAGAACAATTGTAGGAGTAGTATTCATGAAGGTGTGTAAATATCTTTGCTATGTATTACATTTACATTGTTTTTCCTGATAGGGTTACTGCAGCATTTAGGATTGTATGACAGACACCAATCCAGCAGGTTCAGTTTTCTCAATACCTCCAGTGGTAGTGTGGGAAACCTCCAAACATTGCTTGCAATCTCTATCAAGCATGAGATGGGATTTGCATTTCAAGGACATCTGGGGTGCTACATGTTCCCTGTCCCTACTTAGTGGAAAAGCACAGACCTGATGGATTTCTATTTGCCAGGCAGTTGTGAAATGGCAGGATTCCTGCCATAAAACTGATGGCTATTTTAGTCCAGTACTGTCAGCCATTTGGTCACATCACAGAAGAGATGAAGTAATCCATGCTTCCTTATATTGACTCCCTTCCTCTTGTCTTTTTAATAACAGGAATGTCAGAGAGGGAACGGCAAGTGATGAAAAAGCTGAAGGAGGTGGTAGACAAACAACGAGATGAAATCAGAGCAAAGGACCGAGAGCTCGGGCTGAAAAATGAGGATGTAGAAGCTGTAAGTGTTTAGGATTCGAGTTCGTCCTCCTTTGAGGGGCAAAATAGCAATTGATAAAAAGGGTATTTGAAGATTATTCCTTGCGGTGTGGATGCAGGGAATCATTTGGCAAGTAAAAAGAAAACTGACATACAGATGTCTTTTGACATTCCTTACCCAGCAGATCGTGATCATCTGCTTTTTAAAAAACACAAAATTAGTTCTGTTTCAATAAACTCAGCATTTAATTTAACGGCATCTGAGGAGGACTCAGAGCGGCCTTACAATAGACAACAATTGCCTTATCAAACAAACAAATAATAAAAATAAACATATATATTAAAAGCATAATATTAAAAAGCAATATAAGCATTAAAACCACACAGTCCTTAATAGTAGTCAAGGCTGTTCCAGTCATGATTGCATATATTCCGTCTTCTCTTATTGCATTGCACTACTACCCAAAGGCTTGGTCCCACAGCCATGTCTTCAGTTTCTTTCTAAAGGTCAGGAGGGAGGGGGCTGACCTGATTTCACTAGGGAGGGAGTTCCATAGCCACTGAGAAGGCCCTGTCTCTCATCCCTACCAACCGTGCCTGTGAAGGAGGTTGGACCAAGAGCAGGGCCCCCCCAGACAATCTTAATCTTCAAGATGGTTCATAGAGAGAGATGCGTTCAGACAGATAAGCTGGGCCAGAACCATTTAGGGCTTTATAAGCTAAAGCCAGCACTTTGAATTGTGCTTGATAGCAGACGGGCAGCCAGTGGAGCTGACGTAACAGGGGGGTTGTATGCTTCCCATACGCTGCTCTAATGAGGAATCTGGCTGCTGCCCATTGGACCACTTGAAGCTTCCGAACAGTCTTCAAGGGCAACCCCACGTAGAGTGCACTGTAGTAGTCTATTCGGGATATAACGAGTGTGGACCACTGTGGCCAAGTCTGGCTTCCTAAGGTAAAATATCTGTCATTTCTTTCCTTCCATCCTCTGGCAGCTCCAGCAGCAGCAAAATAGGCTGATGAAGATCAATCATGACCTGCGCCACCGAATCACGGTTGTGGAGGCTCAAGGGAAAGCCCTCATTGAGCAGAAAGTGGAGTTGGAGGCGTACCTTCAGACCAAGGAGCAGGAGATGGGAGCGCTGCGGGCCGAGCTGGTGAAACTCCGAGAGAAACTGCAGGGGGAGCCTAACCAAAATGGAGAAGAAATCCAGGTTGGCAGAACATCATCATTATATTATTATTATTTTGTAATTAGATTTTATTTATTTATTTATTTATTATTTAATTATTTGTGTCTTGCTTTCTTGCTCTAAAAAAGAGACCTGAACGTTGGTGCCTGTACATTTTTCTAGCCTTCCATTTGATTCTTCGGCATAATTTTGACGGTGAAACAGTGGATTTTAATGTTAAGATAAATGTTTTTAATGTTTATGTATGTGTCAAATCTATTTATATACCGGCATTGAATGTTTGCTATTTGTATGTTGTGCTCGCCCTGAGTCCCCTTCGGGGTGAGAAGGGCGGAATATAAATGTTTTAAATAAATAAATAACAATTGACATTATGTATATATTAGTGACATTTCTATCCCATGGGCAATGAATGTAAGGCAGTGTACATAGCTGTGCTCCCTCTATTGTAACTTCATAACACGTTTGCAAGGCAGGCTAGGCAGAGAAATACAGGTCTAAAATTACCGAATGAATTTCATGGTTCAATGGGACTAGAATCCAGCTCTCCCAAGTCCAGCCTAACACCCCATTGGCAATATTAATTGCATTGATATCCCATCGTCCCACCCTGCAAGGACATCAAGATGGGTTATTTGGATCTTTCTAACACTATCACCTTTCATCCTTGCAATTCCCCTGTGAGGTAGGCTTGATTGGGAATGAGGAGGGAGAAAAATCCAGAGTCACTGATTTAGTTGGCTGCAGCAGCAAAGGATGATCGGAAGCTTTCGTGTCTTGTCTAGCAGGGCTACAAGAAAAGTTGGGAATCACCTGAATTATTTAAAATTATCAGATAGGTAGGTAGATAGATGGAGCCCCTGGTGGCACAGTGGGTTAAACCCTTGTGCTGGCAGGACTGAAGACCCGACGGGTCGCAGGTTCGAATCCGGGGCGAATGTGGATGAGCTCCCTCTGTCAGCTCCAGCTCTCCATGTGGGGACATGAGAGCAGTCTCCCACAAGGATGATAAAACATCAAAACATCCTGGCATCACCTGGGCAACGTCCTTGCAGACGGCCAATTCTCTCACACCAGAAGCAACTTGTGGTTTCTCAAGTTGCTCCTGATACAAAAAAAAAAAGGTAGATAGATGTCTTTTTCAGGGGAGGGGGAAACAAAGACTTTATATGCAACTTTGGATCTATTTTGAGACTATATTTGACTGCAACTCAGTGAATACTCTGAAATATGTTCCACATCCCATAGCACTCTTTTTGCCTAAGTTGATATATAAGCTGCTCAAGAGCCTTTCCAGCTACAGAGCAGGGTAGACGTGCTATAAATAACCAATACATGCTTGCTCTGTCCGTTTCAGCTGTCGAGTAGATAGTTAAGTAGTCAACTGTTTTTAAACCTGGCCATGAATATACTATTGGAAAAAAAGGAGGGTTATATCATGCCGTTCTTAAGGATGCTGAAGGAAGGCATCCTTAAGACATCAAAACTGAGAAATGTTCCGATTTTACAGAATGCTTTGGGCTCCTCTCGCTTTTCTTGGTAAACTGGAGGTGATCTGAGTTCATTTCTTGACTACTTCGGCCCCATCTACACTGCCATATAATCCAGTTTCTGATCTCAGATGATCTGCTTTGAACAAGATTAAGTGGCAGTGTAGACTCATATCATCCTGTTCAAAGGAGGTAATCTGAATTCAGAAGCTGGATTATATGGTAGTGTAGATCCAGCCTCAGCCAGTGGGGAAGAGATAATTCCTGTGAATAGTGCTTAACACAGCCTTTTCTGGGCCCAAACATTTGTCTGTCTAGATCCCCTTCTTGGTTTCTTTCTTTTGCTGTTTCGTAGCTGAGGTTTGGGCCAGTGCCTATGCCTTTCTTGCTGCAGTCACCAATGCAGTGATATTCAACAGGATTTTTTTTTCTGTTTTTGGTCTTAAGATTTAAAATTCACCTTACTCTTGAAACTCAAGATAGCTTATGTTGGGTGTGTATATATACACACACACACCTTTTAATGCTAATGTAATGTAGAGCCGAACCAAAGTGCCAACTCAGGCTTGCGCCGTGGTTGGCGCAATGGTGCTGCTGAATCTGCTGGCCTGAAGGTTGGCAGTTCAAAGCCACAGGTTGGGGTGAGCTCCTGCTGTTAGCCCTAGCTTCTGCCAGTCTAGTAGTTTGAAAACATGCAAATATGAGTACAGTGTTCCCTCACTTATTGCTGGTGTTATGTTCCAGGACCACCCGCGAAAAGTGAAAATCTGCGAAGTAGGGATGCTATATATGTATATCGCGTTCCAAGGGTGAGGCAGAAGCGAGGAGAGATTTAAAGGCACTGTGCACTTTTTGTTTTGCTAACTATCTGCTATGCTTTGCAATTTCTCTTGATTGGCTGCCTCTCTCCTGGGGGGGAGGGTTAAACTTCCTTCCACACTCCATTGTTGCCAGGAGGTGGGATTAGAATGCCGCTCTGGGCAACGGCAACCATTCACCAACTGGGAGGCAAAAACTCGTGAAACAGTGAGTCTGTGAAAAGTGAACCGCAAAGTAGAAAGGGAACACTGTAGATCAATAGGTACAGCTTTGACGGGAAGGTAATAAAGGCGCCCCTGTAGCCATGCCAGCAACACAACCAGATAGGTGTCTATGGGCAACAGGCTTCTCGGCTTGGAAATGGCACTTCCCTATGGCCAGAGTGAGCACTGCTGCCCGAAGCTGGAGATGAAAGGGGAGGCCTTTACCTTTGTTATGTGTATTTGTATGTCATTGTTATTTACTGTATTAAAGGCATTGAATGTTTGCCTATCTGTGTATGTTGTAATTTGTTCTGAGTTCCCTTGGGGAGATAGAGTAGAATACAAATAAAGCATTATTATTATTATTGTTATTATTATCCTTGGTCCTCCAGGTGGAAGAACCAAATAATGACGACTATATTTTGGAATCGGAGAAGCTGGCCATGGACTTGAAAGATCCCAACCGGCCCAGGTTTACGTTGCAAGAGCTGCGGGATGTCTTGCACGAGAGAAATGAACTGAAATCAAAAGTATTTTTGCTGCAAGAGGAGCTTCTGTATTATAAGAGGTGTGCTGTTTTGTTCAACTTCTGTTTGTTGGCATTCTGGGCAGAGTTCAGCAGACACAATAAGGTGGTTCAGCACAATTCCACAATTTAAGTGGTTTGAATTTGCTGCCTAGTTTGAATAAGAGTTGTTTTTGAACTTACTTGTTTTTCGCAGTATCGTTTTCATTTATTTCATACTTTGTTTGGGGTTCTGCACTGGGAGAAAGGCAAGATATACATGCGTAAATACGTACATACATGTGTGCTTTTTTAAGGAAAGTGAATGTGCTTACAGCTCCAAAGGCTGTCCTCTACGCCACAGTTGTCAAATATAGAAAGCAGTGCTTCTTTCATGTTTTGGGCAGAGAGAAGCCTTTTCCATCACCTATGCCTGGATTTGTCTTTTTAAAAGATCTGGAAATGTCAAGACTTGGACCTGGGAGGGAACTTCTGCTTGCAAAGCACTGAGCTGGCAAGATTTTCCAAAGAACCAAAACTCTGTTTTGTTCCTCTGTATTTCATGCCCTTGCTTTTTCACATTTCTATTTTGGAAGTTCCCACGTGTTCAGAGAATCCTCAAGCAAACTTTCAGATTCTTATCCTATCCTGGACTTACCTGTCCTATACTGATATTGCCCAGAACAGGTGAGAGAAAGTTATCTCCATGTGAGAGAATTTGGACTGTAACTTGTGTGTGGCCTCTGTTTTTTAAAGCGATGAAGCCGACGAGGACACGAGATCTCCCCAGCCGACGACCATCATGAATTCCAAACCAACCATCCAGCAAGAATCTGGAATCAAACGGCTGTAAGTTATCTCTTTTTTTCCCCCTTGGGATGCCTTTGATGTTGGGGAATTTGCTGGACTTTTGCATGCCAAAGCTTTTTAAAGGAGGTGATAAATAATGATGCTCTTCATCTTCATATGTAACAAAGCTTTCCTCTTTTTTATACTGGCTTTGATTCATTCTGCCACATTTTAAAAATACATTCCTCCCATTTTGTCATCAGCTACGAACTTCCATTTGTTGTCTCACAACACTGTTTTGTGAGGGCCAGCTAACATCTCCCAACAAAGGATTCCCTCAGGCAGGAACAGGCAGGCTTTGAAGTTGCACGGCTATTCAATGCTAATCAAGCGGGCCAATGGCAACATTCCCACTTGCCTCCAACAGACTAGAGTTCTTTCTCCCACCCTTGTCATTCCACAGATATATAAGCCCCACTTGACTAGTTTCCAAAAGATCTCACAACCTCTGAGGATGCCTGCCATAGATGTGGGCAACACGTCAGGAGAGGATGCTTCTGGAACATGGCCAGACAGCCCAGAAAACTCACAGTAACCCACTGATTCTGGCCATGAAAGCCTTTAACAACATATCTCCTAAATAAGTTCCCAATTTCATATGTGGGTAATTGTATTGGGAAATCAAGTGATATTCCTCTCCCTCCACTCCTGTCTTGAATTCTAAAATGGCACAATTTTCATGTTCCTATAGCACTATGTTACAAAATTTGGGAAAAAATGTGCTCCTGGTTTGAAAGTGTTATTCCTGTTTAATTGTGCAGCACTTACTTTGAAAGTAGTTGTTCTACTCCAGAAACTTTGTTTTTGTGGCTGCCACAAACTAGGTTGAATTGGTTGAGACTCGATGAGATACCTATTGAAAAACTATAGCCAAATGTGCTGCAGGATGTCCCTCCCGCAAAGACAAAGTATTGGCAGTTTAATAAACCTTATTTTACTTTATTTATTTTGTTTTTATGATAGAACCAACTAGGAAATGACATATAACCCAGGAACAAAAATTGTCTTATAGTGTAATCAAGCCTAAGATTCTGTAACTGGAACAGACATATACTATTTCCTTGTTTACCCCTCCTGTACTTTCACATTTATTGGATCTCATGTTGTGCAACATCGGCCCTAGAACCATGTGTCCAGAGCGTGCAGATCATTCCCTCCTGTTCAATAGGAAAACAGAGAAAAAATGCTAAATAGTAAGTTCTAGTGCCAGAGGGCACATGCCTTTAGATGGCTCCCAAGCTGCCCTGAGCATTTCCAAAACTGGTCCTGGAAAGAATAGGTATGGTTCTTGTACACGTTCCAAATAAAATTTATGTAAAGGTACCTTGTCTGTACACTACATTTTGACTATAGATTCCCGTGATCTCCTGTTTCCTCTGATGTGCCTGTTTCTTGAGACTGTAGTGATAGCACCAGGGGAAAACCTGCAAAATCAAGAGCATCTCAGAGCACAGGAAATCAGAAAAAGTATTCATGCTATATCTTTGTCTCAAACTCAGAAAGCGGTCCTTATTTTAGGATTTTGTTATCATAGAATCCTAGAGTCAGAAGACACCCCAAAGACCATCCAATCCACCCCCCCCCCCGACAGATGGCCATCCAGCCTCTGTTGAAAAGCCTCCAAGGAAGGAGCCTCCACCAGACTCCAAGGCAGTGAGTTCCACTGTTGAACAGCTCTTCTTATGTTCAGGAAGTTCTTCCTAATGTTCAGGTGGAATCTCCTTCCCTGTCATTTGAACCCATGGCTCCAAGTCAGTCAGCAACAGCAGTGATTCTCTAATGGAGGGGACAACAAGCAATTTGTCTACTGTCCGTGCCTCTCTTCACACTGTTCTCTATATGAGACTAGCATGGTACAGTGACGGCATTGCTGAATCGGAGGTGGCTTGAAAGTGGGAGGGAAATTAAGAAACATTAACGTTTGAGCAGGATTTGTTTGTTTGCTTTTTTGTTTTTAAAAAGGCCAGTGCTCCTCTGTGTCGTTTTATACAGTGAGCAGAAAGCAGCCTTTTGTTTGGAAGGCTGTCTCGCTCATTTGTTGCTGGCCTTAAAAAGGAGAGAGACAAAAGCCTGTGTGTGCGTCGTGGGATGAGTGATGCAACTGGCCGGCTGCAGAGCTGTGGAAGCCAGGGGAGAATAATAATAACTGTTTGTGCTGTTTTCCACGCTAATAATAGCAGCTCCCAGCAGTAACTTGGTCGGGAATGTCTCGGAGCTGTGTTTAGCTCAGGAGCGGGAGGGGGGGGGAGTGCTTGGGTGATCTCTGTTGTGTCCTGAATTAGCACCAGGAGATCTGTAACAAGGTGGTGCAGTGATCAGTGTGGCAGCCACAAAACCAATAGGAAGAAAAGACAATCGGTACTCTGCAAAAAAAATCTCCACAAACACCCAGAGATAAACAGTTCTCCAAGTACTTAGCCTGAGGATGATGGTCCTCCCAGTCTGGTGCCTTAGCGGTGGGTCCGTAGGTAGCTGTGGAGCCTTATTCTTGATCTGCATGTTCTCCCGCAGTCAGGACATCAGTCTCCAGGTGGAAGGTGGTCCCAGTCAGGGTTGGCTTGACGGGCCTTCCATTTGGCACATTTCACCCTTTCACCCTCCATTTGTGCCTCTTCAAATTCAGTAGCACTGCTGGTCACCGCTGACCAGTTAGAGCACTCAAGGGCCAGGGCTTCCCAGTTCTCCATGTCCATGCCACAGTTTTAAGCCCATCTTTAAATATCTTTTCCTGTCCACCAACATTGCATTTCCTATTCTTGAGTTGGTAGTATAGTAACTGCTTTGGGAGACAGTGATAGGGCATTCGGACAATATGGCCAGTCCAGCGGAGTTGATGGTATAGGAGCATCACTTCAGTGCTGGTGATCTTTGCTTCTTCCAGCACACTGACGCTTGTTCACCTGTCTTCCCAAGAGGTTTGCAGGATATTTTGGAGACAACACTGATGGAATCGTTCCAGGAGTTGAGTGTGATGTCTGTAGACAGTCCACGTTTTGCAGGCATATGGGAGGGTTGGGAGGACAATAGCTTTATAAACAAGCACCTTGGTATCCCTACGGATGTCCTGGTCCTCAATCACTCTGTGCTTCATTCGGAAAAATGCTGCACTTGCAGAGCTCAGGCGGTGTTGTATTTCGGTGTCAATGTTGACTTTTGTGGAGAGGTGGTTGGCCAAGTACATATGATAAAATCACTTGCTCCTTGGGACCTTGGATGGATAGTTATTTGTTATAATGACAAACATTAGTTTTGGTGTGGGAATACATTGGATTCACGCGTAAAGTGATTAATGAAATGGTTTTGTTTTGATATTTCAAATTGTTTTAAAATTGGGCTGCTGAATATGTCAATCTGGGGCGGCATTCAACTTATTCCTATATTTGTTTGTCATACAATCATGAGCTGAAAAGCTGATTCTCCTGGATAGGTGGACACGGAGGGGAGCATTGCTCGGATAGCTGACAGCTATACATCTGTCAGTCCTATTCAAAAGCAATTCAGTGGCACAGATTCGAATTTTGTTTTTTAAAGCAGAGGAAGGAGCATTGACTTTCAAGAAGATCGACTTACTTTGGCACAGTCTTTTTAAAAAGATTTTTCCCAGAACCCTTATAATGTTTTTGTAAACTGTACAGAGGGTTCTGTAAGTGCCTTTGAAAGGTGAATCACTGCTCCCGGAGGCTTCAGGGAGAGGCAGTGTGATCTCTGGAGAGCCTGGAGGTGGATCCACAAAAACAACTTGGGAGGCCAGTTGCCCACCCCAGAGCTGTGCTTTGCCCACACCTGCCCTAGAATCTGTTATGGGGTCAATGTGTTTCAGACGTGCAATTCAAGAGTACCCTTCAGAAGGAAAATTCACTCATGAAAGAGTTATGGTAGGGAAAAGGTGGCTGCCATGCTTGGTGAACTTTTCTCACCAATTCTTGTTTCCACAACAAGCCAATTTTTCAAAATCAATTTCTCGCAGGGACAGAAAGTGTGGTGACGCTTATATGGGGGGGGGGGGTAAAAAACACTTCTTAAATTCAAAGAAAGATGGTATTCTTGTGTGAAATACTCCATACTTAACTCCCACATTTTTTGTTTGTTTGACTTTTCCGACTTCCTTCCTTGCCCTTCCCTATATCTGAATACCTTCCATGTCTGACTGAAGTCTCCTATCTTTTGTGTCTGTGTGTCTGTACTTTCCCAACCAGGATCTTTACAGCTATAATGCCCATGGTAGCTGCCGGACTGATCCCCGATGATCCCACATTGCAGCCAATAAGAAGACTTATGTCCCTTGTAGGAAATGTTCATTTTGCACTGGGTGACGGTGGAGTTTGGGGTCCCCAATTTTGCGCATGACACGCTGCTTTTCCTTACTTTAACCCTGGTTGTATTCTCATTGGCTGACTTGTGGGATCACAAACATTTTTTAAAAAAAGAAATAAAATGTGGCCAATCAGAATGCTCCCGTGCTGCATGCTGTGCCCACTTAAATTCCAAGACGTCCATGTTCTGTTGCACTGTTGTCTTCATTTGGTACTCCTCTGAGCCACTAACTTAGGCTTTTATAAGCAAATATTTGGTCATAGAAGAATAGAGTTGGAACAGATCACATGGGCCATCCAGTCCAGCCCAATTCTGCCACGCAGGAAAAGCACAAACAAAGCATCCCTGACAGATGGCCATCCAGCCTCTGTTTAAAAGCCTCCAAAGAAGGACATTCCAGTGGACTCCAATGTAGAGAGTTCCCCTGCTGAACAGCTCTCAATTTGGTCAGTTGATTCCAGTGACATTTAGCCCATTCCTTCTGCCTTTTTTGACCTCATCTTAGCCCACAATTCCTCATCTCAGGCTCAATTGTCTATTGTGCTATATTCTACAAGTTAGCCCAATTGAAACACACTAGCTTTTGCACAGTGAACAAGAGTTAAAATGTGTATTAACATGACATAATGTTAGGACTGCTCTGCCGGTTACAGAGGGCTGTGTGTATATGTGCTTTTCAGACCAAGACGAGCCTATTGGTGGCTTCTGCTATATATAAGCATATTAATCACTGATGCAGTGTAACCCTGCTTTTTGAGTGCCTGCCTACTGACAAATTGCAAAGGTGGTTTTTTTTTTTTGAAATCACATTATTTAATCTGCATCAGGTTACATTTTTCACGTACTGACAAAGCCTCAAATGTTGGCATAGCATTATATGTCAGTTCATGATTAGGTTTAAGTTGATCTCAAACGCTGAAAGAAAAGCAAGGAAGCACTAATTTGAAACAGTTAAAATGTGTATAAAACCATTCTGTCTTGGAATTAAATGCAATGTCTTAGAGCTAGGTAGATTCCACCATAGAGCATCACCTGACGCAGGTGATCACAGGGAAGGAAACAATTCCCATTCTTTCTGGATGGCACAACTTGGGGGGAGGGGATGACTAGATACCATGCCTGTACCTGTATCTGAATTCAGAGGCTCTTTTACCTGTGGTGATCTCAGAGTAGATAACTGGGTGCTTTGCTATGCCAATGTTGTTGGAAATAGCAGCCTTCTACAAGCCTCCTATGCTAGTTGTTATGTATATAATTGTGATTGCTTACTATATTGTATGTATATTTTGACATGCAGTCTTACCTTAACTCTATGTTGTTTGAGGTTGTGGGAGGGACTGCAGACCATGTGACAAGATCTGGGACTATTCAGACTAAGACTCCATCTTAAAAGCCAGTCAGTACAGTTTTTAGAAGTCGTTTGCATCAGGAGTCAGTACAGTTTAGAAGTCAGTACTGTCACTATGCTGCAGTGTGTAGTCAGTCTGTATTGAGTCAATGTTCAGTAATATGTATTAGACTGAAGAGAGTGTTAGTCTGTATGCAACAGACAAGAGAACTTACTGTTGAAACTCTCAACCAGTAAGAAATGTACCTGTATGCTGAATATGGGAGAGTAGATGTTTTTGGGCAACTGAAACAACACTTTTGAAGATCTGCTATATATGTTGTGCATTGGCATTTCTTTGTTCCTAACAGTTCAGAGAGATAACCAGGCATATCAGTCTAACAACTGAGAAACCTAATTTGCCTTGCATAGATGCTAGCAGATATTTACCACTAAAGAAGAGATTAATTCAAATGAGTTTTAGCTCTTCTCAGGAAGATCACACTTCACAAAAGGGTAATGATTATTCCAAATAGTGTGAATGCCAATTAATCTCCAAAAGGGTCATGCTTCCAAAAGCCTGTGGAGATTTCTGGTTTCCCAAAAGGTTGTGGTCTCTAAAAGGTCATGCCTTCCCAAAACATTTAAACTCCAAAAACCTATAAAGAAAATTACTGGGGCTATTAAATTTATGGGGTCTTAATCAAACAAGCCCATTTACTCAGTCTGTACTTCATCTGTGTGTTTTAACTATGTTGTTCCCTGCCTTGAGCCTTGAGGAGAGGCAGGTGACAAATATATCATATTATTATTATTCCCACAATCCACATTACCAGTGGGAAACGGAGGCTGAGGAAAATGCAGCTTGCACAAAGCTATTAATTGACTGGGCATTTGAATCTTAACTTCTGAATTTGACAGAGAGTCAGTAAGATCTTTCTGGTGGCCGGAATGATCTCTGTGCTTCTCAAAATTGCAGTTTTGGGCCAAGACAGAATTCGACTTGCAGTTTTTTTTCTGTGGTGTTCATAGCAGGTCATGTCAAAGCTGCCCTTTCTTTGATGCAGTCAGCACCAATAATTATAATAGCAGTATGAATTGCCCTTCATGGTTGCTCACCTTTAGTGTAGTAGTAGTAGAAGTTGTTGTTGTTATTATCCATAGAAATAGAAAGCAATTTCTTACAAGACAACTAGTGAGAACATAACAGCCGTAGCCTTCTCGGGGTTCACATTGCTGGTTGCCAAATAAGCGAGTCTAACCTGAAACAGTCTGATTTTGTCTGCCCTCTTAGCATTTGATCATGCATTTTCTTGGCGTGTTGCTCAAAACAGTCAGCTCTCCATGCTCTAAACTTCGAAGTCTTAATCTGTATGGTATCTCATCCCATTTTTCCATTTTTTTTCCTTTTGTAAGGTTTAGTTTCTTCTCCCGCGACAAGAAGCGGATGCCAGCCACGCAGAGAAATGCCTCCTTCCAGGGCTCCTTTGGCGAATGGGCTGACTCCAACAAAGATGACGTCTACACCGAACAAGGCCTGGAGGCCCTGCAACACCTGTGACTTGAGAGCTAGTGGTGGTGATGGCCCATTGAAACATGGAAGGACTCATGTCGCAGACTGTACCCCCCCCCCCCACACCCCATTCCTTTGCCTTATTCCGTTGGCTACGGGGCTTCGTATGAACCGATTGGCCACAACGGAGTCCTTAATGTTTCCTTCGGGTGACTGCGCTCTGCAAACTAGATCCCAGTCTCTCTAGCAATGGCTTTGTCTCCTCTGCTGTAGTCACTTTGCTAGATTATTTGCCATGAATTTGGACCGCTGTGTTAACATCACTTAACAAAAGTTTCCTTTAACCAAAAAGAAAAGACAGATGCCATTGCAGAAGAGTTCTCCTCCTGTCCCCTTGGACGCTGCTTGCCCAGTTTGTTGGAGAAGGACTTTTCTGGATGATGATGATCCTCCCTTCCTTCTCCCAATGACTCTTGAGAGAGTCTTAACTCCTTAACACTTGTTTGCCAGAGGAGCCCACGCTGGAAATGGGGCGGACTGGAACGGGATCACCCCCCAGATGGGTCAGGACTGTGTTTTTTATTTTATTTTATTTTTGGTTTGTTATTTATAGTGCCTACAAACATGATTGACAAGGCAACAGTGCCTCGCATTTTTCTCTGGATTCTGTGATTATATTAACAAACACTAAACGGCTGAAATCCATGCTAACCTTTTAAAAATTAACTCTTTCCCAGCCCAGCCCAGCATTTTCCCTTTTTTTACAGAGTGATCTCTTTGGCGCTTTTGGAACGCAAAGCTTTTCAGATTTTGGCCGTTGTAGTTGGTTTGGATCTTCTCTGGATCCCAGCCAGCCTCTCAAGGGGTGCCCCATTGGGCCTCTATAGCCTTGGGGAAAGCCAGCTTGTTCCTGAGAGGGCTTTGGTGCATAGTTCATCTCCCTTTAGTATTTTCTCAGGGCAGTTGGCAGTACCCTCATTTGGCGTTTTTTCAGCTCCTCACTAACACTACTGTTTTCTGGAAAGGCTTCTGTACAATTTGGCAAGGGCAAAGAATGCCGCTTTACGTTGGAAGAGAGCGGGCACTGCCTGCTGGTCACCCAAAGTGTGGAAGAGCTCCTTTCTTGGACTACAACTCCCAGAGTGCTCCAGCCAGCATGGCCACTGGCTTGTCATTGGCGATACCTTTGAGAGCTGCCTGTTCCCATTGACGGGAAGAAGCACAACTTGCAACAGCGATTCCCATCGTCCTACCGTTTTCCAGAGTTGGTACAACCCCTACTCTTTGAAGTGACCCCTTTTGCTGTCTTATTTTGCCATTAAAGGAAAACTGCCCTTTCTTTTTGCAGAGTTTTCTTGGGCTTTTCTGCCTCGGGTGCCAAATTCTTGTGGCCCATTTTGGGCAGTGTGCACCTTAAGCTGTGTACAAAGGGCCACTTCCAACATGTCCTGAGTTAGCCCTACTTGATCAAGCAGACCTGCAACTGCGCTGCTGTCTTTTACGTTTTGTGCTGGCTGGAAAAAAAAAGAACTACTATTTGTTTTCAAGGTTCTCTTGGGAGGAGAGCCTGATGTTGCAGGACAGAGCAGCCTGAACCAAAACCCTTTAAAAAAAATGCAAACAGCAGGCGCAAAAAGTTGTTTGTCGGTGGCCAACTTTATTCTCTTTTGGTCAACCTCAGTATCAGGGGTTCTCCTGCTTAGGGTGTGATGCATCTTGTGTTGCTGTATCCCGTCTTGAAGGGACGGACTTCTGTTAAAAGGAATTAAACGCTAGGAGCGTTTGGCTTTGAACACTTGATGCCACTCACTTTAGATAGTCCGAAGCTGTAAGGATATGTGTTTGGATGGGTGGTAAGGCAGATTGCAATCTTTCATTAAAGAAAAAGCTTGTTTTCCCTGACCTCTTGTCATCTGCCATGCAGCCTCGACTCCAACCGCCTTTATGAGGACTAATGAAAATATCACAAAGTTGTCTAGAACAGTGGCTTTAAACCTTTCCCCTGTCAGTGTTTTTGAGATTCAACTCCTTGAAACCCTGACTGTTAGCTATGGGTTTCTGGGGGTCGGAAGTCCAAAACATCCAGCAGACTAGAGCCAAACAACTATTCTAGAACTCTTCTAGGTTTCACATTAAAATATGGGTGGGAAGACATTGTGTCAAAGCATTAAAGCGCCATTTTAATGCAGGAGGGGCAATGTGCAGCCCTCTAGACATTGGACTTCACATCCCAGTAGCTCTAGCTAGGATAGCCAATGGTGAATGTGGATGGAAGTTGCAGTTCATCAAGCTCTAGAGCGCAACAAGAGACACAGCATAAGAGATGCCATAAGTGAAATGGAATAGGAGGGACAAGTGGCTTTGGAAGAAAAGATAACCCCTGTTCACCACCCATAGTGAAAATATTGTGTGATGACCGAAGCCTATGTGGGGGTTGAACCTTTGCATTGGATAGAAGGCACATATTTTATTGGTTTGCTCAAACCAATTAGGTCTGCATTTCTGTTCTTGGCCCACAAAGAGCTCCTCCTCTTCTACAGCTGGCGTCAAAACTTAGGTAAAACCTGGTCCGCACACTAGTAAATTTTCTTTTAGGCCAGTCATTTTTGTATAGTGATTCCCTAGGCTGCTCTCATATCTAAAACCGCCTTCGTTCAACTTGGGTGTTCCCAATGTGAGCTAGAATGCCACTAGAACTCATCCTCAGGACACAGGAGGTACTGCAGAGCCCTTTCCCCCTTTAATAATCAAGAGGACTAGAAACATGCTTTTAGAAACTGGTGGCCGATTCTCAGGAACCTAAATTCCTCCTCCTAGCTGCTAAATTCTGCATTGACATTGCTGGAGCCCAAAGGCATGGATACAGGAGTGTGAATAATGAGTAGCTGTGTTTCAATCGACACTTTTTTTTTGGGGGGGGGGGGCATTTTTTACATCCCAACTCAAACATAGACCTCTTTCCTCGATCACTGCGGTCCCCAAAAATCGTTTATGCTCTAGCAACAGTTCCCATAAAGCAGTTGTAGAGTAAGGCCATACTAGAAAAGGGAATGGACACCACGGTTGGGATATGCAAACAGAGTGAATGTGTGTCTTTATTCAAGATTCAGGGTGTTGCAAGGTAAAAAGGCAATAAACAGAGTTTAAAGGGGCTGGGTGGGTGGGGAGGCGGTGTCAATTGCAGATCTTTTTAATATTCCAAATAAACTATTTCTGAATTAATTTTTGTGTGTGTGGTTTTTGCACAACCTATGGAAAAGTGTTTGGTTTGGCAAACATTTGTCTTAATTCATCCACAGTAAAACATAAAATTCAGGATGGTCTCACATCTCAGACATCTCCCGAATCTCCTTTTTTCTATGCTGTCTCCTCTTCGTGGACCGAATGATGTCAGGATCACCGTATCAGCCTGGGACTGGCTACTTTGGTTCTCTGCCATAAAGAAGGGAAGTGGGGGAAGGGAGGCTGAGTACAGTTGGGGAAGGTAGTGTAGATAAGACATGTGTTTTTGTGAGGGAAATCGAAACTGCAGTTAACAGACTGTGGGCACAATGTTTGGCCACTAGGGGGCGGATGGGAGTTGGGGCTGATATATAGAGGAGGTTTGAGTGAGAAAACTTCAGAACTGTTTTAGGATTGTGGAAAGAAGGAATAAACCACTTGGCTCCAGCGTTTGATTTGTTGTGAGCTTGATTTTAACTCCAAGATCTTCCAGAGTCTGACAAATAAGCTCTCTAGGTTTCAGCTCGTTTAGGGACTTTCTCTTCTTTTACCCAACCTAGAATCGTCCCTTTTCTCCTTTTTCCCTTTCTATGGAAGAAATTCCCTCCATTTGGATTCCACTAATATATTGTTGACATCAGAATGGGGGGGGGGGGGTGACTTTATGGATGGCAGCTCTCCAAATTGCACTGCAGAGTCACTGATGATGCTGATTGGAGAGTCTTGGGAACTGCAGTCAAGAAAGATCTCTTGCAGCCAAACAGTTACTATGATGTTTTGCAACACTGGTCACATTCAGGAAAAAGCTTGACACATATACACAATGAGAGAGACTACTGTCCTTCCGCCATGTCATGTCCTATCAGTACTCCTCTTCATCCCGGGCTTTCTTCAAGCTGCGGTCCCGACTTCGGTCTTTTCTCTCTCGGTCCCTTCCCTCCCTCCCTCGGTTCCTTTCCTCCCGCCCGTGCCGTTCCCAGTCCCTCTCTCCCCAGCCCTGCGCCCGGTCCTGTTCTGCCCGCCGCTGTTCTCTGTTCCTTTCATGATCACGGTCCCTTGTCTTCACGTCCCTTGTCCCGTCTCTGGACCACACTCGATCTCTTCTTTCCATCGGTCCCTCTCCATAAAAATCACTTTTCATTGCAGGTAAATTGATGGGCTTCCGGAAAGGCCGGTCCCGGCCTCCAAACCGCAGCTGCCCCGATTCCTTTTTGCCCCCAAAGCCGCCCCCAAGCCGCCGAGGGATCCATCCTTTCAGCGTCCTCTCCAGCTCAAAGTCCACAAATACCTCCCGCTGGTCGATAACCAGCCTGTTGGTGTCTCGGTGGGCTTTGATAAGAGCCCGCTCCTCTTTGTACTCGATGAAGGCATAGCCCTTGGAAAAGCCAGTGACCAGGTCTCGCACTAGGCGGATCTTCCGGATGTCTCCGTATCGGGAAAAGACCTCCTTCAGTTTGTCCTCGGTGGTCTGCAAGTTGAGCCTGGCCACAAACAGGGTGAGATGGGGGTCTCCCGAAACACCTTTGTTGGGGACGTAGCGGGCCAGCATGGCCCTCCAAACGGCACGATCATGGGGTTCCTCGTCGGTGCCATCGATGCTTCCTGCTTTGAGGGGATCGTACTCTTTGGCAATGGGGGCCCACTCATTCATTCTCTGGAAGGGAAAAAGACAGCACCCCAAAGCTTTAGTATCCCTTCTTTCACAGGACTCTGCTTCAGGACATCTGGGGGGTTGCATGATTCCCACTGCTGGGAAAGTAAATCCCAGGTTCAATGTCCCGAGTTTGCAGATGATGGCAAAAAAGAGATGAGTGTTTTTCCAGAACAAGCCTAGCAGCGTTATGGGCAAATTTTCCTGAATGCTTTTTCTATCAGAGTAGGATGCAGTTTTATTAATCTGAGGAAGCCTTCATGGCAGGGATTTAACTATAGGGGAGGGGAATGTGATCTTTGCCCCCAAATAAGAGCAGTTTCCCCTGATACTTAGTTCATTCCCAAATTCTAGTATTGCACAGAGCGATATTTCAATGGCTCTCACAACCACCATGTCAGACTACACAGAAAAGCCATTGAAATACACAAGCATGTGGACAATTTCAACAGAAAGGAGGAAACCATGAAAATGAACAAAATCTGTCTACCAGTATTAAAAAAACTCTAAAATTACAACAGCACAACAACAGAGAGGAAACAAACAAAGACATCTAATCACCTCTCAACAAAAGTTTGCTCCAGGCTCTGTCAGGCCATTATATGCTAATCAAGGTGGTCAGTTGAAACATTCACACCTAGCTCCAGCAAACAAGAGTCCTTTGTCCCATCCTGGTCATTCCACAGATACATAAGCCCTTTTTCCTAGTTCCAACAGACCTCACTACCTCTGAGGATGCTTGCCATAGATGCAGGCGAAACGTCAGGAGAGAATGCCTCCAGACCACGGCCATATAGCCTGAAAAACCTACAACAACCCAGTGATTCTGGTCATGAAAGCCTTCGACAATACATGATGATTAAATGCACAGGTACAAGATGACAGGCCTGAAGACAGGCCATGCGAAAGGGATTCTGGAGTCATAGGCTGGATCTACACTGCCCTATATATATCCCAGGATCCAATCCCAGATTATTATCGGCTTCTCCCTGATTATCCTGCAGTGTAGACCAGACTTGGGCCAACTTGGGCCCTCCCTCCAGGTGTTTTGGACTTCAGCTCCCACAATTCCTAACAGCCTCAGGCCCTTTCCTTTTCCCCCTCAGCCGCTTAAGTGTTGAAGTCCAAAACACCTGGAAGGAGGGCCCAAGTTTGTCCATGCCTAGTGTAGACTCATATAATTCAGTTCAAAGCAGATAATCTGGGATCGGATCCTGGGATATAGGGCAATGGATGTAGATTCAGCCTTAGTGGGCAACAAGCTGAACATGAGCCAACAGTGTGATGCAGCAGCTCAAAAAGCCAATGCGATTCTTGGCTGCATCTACAGCAGTGTCCAGCGCAAGGGAAGCATCTCCCTCCCATTCCCCGAAGGCTAGGACCTAGATGTCCTCTCTCCCTCCCAAAAAAACTCCTTCCTAGCCTCTGCATCGGCATGTTCCCCATGGACTCTGCAAAGGAAGAACCCCGACACTCACCCGACACTTTAGGAACGCCCTATGAAGGCATGCAGGAGGGAGAGGGAGCTGTTTCTTGTCCGCAGCCGCCGATTCGCCACAAACAGCAAGACCACTCCGCTTCCAGGATGAGACTGGCTCTCGGAGTAGGAGAAGAAGGGCTCTTTTTATTTCTTCGGGGCCGAGCACATTTTTGATGGCAGCTGGGGTTGCTTTCTGGCGAATCTGCCGAAGTCCCGAAAGCAAGAGAGGGGTTTGTTTTGGAAACGTCTGCTGGGCGCCTCCTGGCGGCGGGGTGCCCAGGTCCCGTGAACGAAGGCCCGCCTCCGGTGCCATGGTTACCCAAACCCCACCTCCTCGAAGCTGGGCTACGGCTTTCTGATTGGCTCCTTAGTTGGCCGGAGTGGAGAGGAAAGTTTGCAAGGCGGAAGTGGGGCTGAGATCGGGTTTGGCATGGAGGCGGATAGGAGGCAGGGTCAGGGTCAGGATCAGGAGGAGGAGGAGGAAGAAGCAGAAGAAGAAGAAGGAGGAGGAGGCCTGAGCGGGCTGGGCGCGGATCCGGAGCGGGCCTTGGCCAAGAGCGCCTTCCAGCTGACGGCCGAGGATGTCTACGACCTGGCCTATGTCTTGGGGCGGGAGCTGCACCAGCTGAGCACCGAGCCCCGCGCCCAAGTGCCCGCCCGGGTGGCCCAGCTCCAGTTCAAGGTGGTCGGCGTGCTGGAGATGCTGGAGTCGCTGGTGGAGGAGAACAACCTGGCCCTGGAGGCCCTCCGCCTCGAGAGGGACAGCCTCCGAAGGGAGCTGGAGGAGAGCCGCGCCCACCAGCAGGCCCAGGACCCCAGCCAGGTGGGACAGTCCGGAAAGGGCCTTGGGGAGCTGGCTGGCGGGCTGGCTGGCCATCTCTCGGGGGTGCTTTGATTGTGTCTTCCTCCCCAAAGGAAGGGGGTTGGACTGGATAGCTTTGATTATTCTTTGTTTGTATTGTCGAAGGATAGAGTTCTTTCTCCCACCCTGGACATTATTCCACAGATGTATAAACCCAATTTTCCTAGTTCCAGCAGACCTCACAACCTCTGAGGATGCCTGCCATAGATGCAGGTGAAACGTCAGGAGAGACTACTTCTAGAACATGGCCATATAGCCCGAAAAACCTACAACAAACCAGCTATTCTTTCAGTTCTTGTGGGTTTTTTCGGGCTATATGGCCATGTTCTAGAGGCATTTCTCCTGACGTTTCGCCTGCATCTATGGCAAGCATCCTCACCTCACCTCTGAGGATGCTTGCCATAGATGCAGGCGAAACGTCAGGAGAAATGCCTCTAGAACATGGCCATATAGCCCGAAAAAACCCACAAGAACTGAGTGATTCCAGCCATGAAAGCCTTCGACAGCTATTCTTTGTTTATTTATTGATTTCTTGCATATATATATTTTTTTGCCCTGCTCTATCTCAATCCCGAAGGGGACTCCACATTGGCAATAATAATAATAATAACAATAATAATAAACTTTGTTGATATCCCGCCCCATCTCCCCGAAGGACTTGGGACGGTGTACAACATCAAGAAATACAACGAATGATACATGCAAAGTGAAATAAGGCAGAGAATGACAGAATAAGTCAAGAGAAAACAAAATCACACCAAAGAGACAAATTAAACAATAAGTAGGATGAAACACTAGTTAAAACACAGTGGTTCCTATCAATTAAATAAAAGCCAAAATACCTGAGTCAAAGTCCATCCATAAAACAAAGATGTTGTCCACATAAAGAGGATATTAACTAATTATTGTCACTTGCTTACTTACTTAGGCAATCTCTTGTTGTCCGAGTAAGATTGTCCAAGTGTGGTCTCCTGGCAGTGGGTACGTAGGTGACTGTGGAGCCCTATTCTTGACCCGCATGTTCTCCTGCAGTGAGGACATTGGTTTCCAGGTGAAAGGTGGTCCCGATTAGGGTTGGCTTGATGTGCCTTTCTCTTGGCACCTTTCTCCCTTTCACCCTCCACTCAAGCCTCTTCAAATTCCACAGCACTGCAAGTCACAGCTGACCCCCAGTTAGAGCACTCAAAGACCAGGGCTTCCCAGTTCTCTGTGTCTATGCTACAGTTTTTAAGGTTGGCTTTGAACCCATCTTTAAATCCATTTTCCTGTCCACCAACATGCCAATTTCCATTCTTGACTTCGGAGTAGAGTAACTGCTTTGGGAGACGGTGATCAGGCAGGCATTTGGACAACGTGGTCGGTCCAGCGGAGTTGATGGCATAGGAGCATTGCTTCAATGCTGGTTGTCTTTGCTTCTTCCAGCAGGGAGTACTTTGATTGTGTCTCCCTGCTTGTCAGAAGGGAGTCAGACTGGATAGCATTTGAGGTGGTCTCTCATCTGGCTCTAAGACCTCTTCCATACAGCTGGATAAAATCTACATTGAACTGGATTATATGGCAGTGTGGACTCAGATAATCCAGTTTAAAGCAGATATTTTGGATTATCTGCCTTGATATTCTGGGTTATATGGCTGTGTGGAAGGGCCCTAGGATTTGCCAGTTCTATGACAGAAAACACTATGTGACACGATGTTTGTTCCTGGGTTACAAATGTCATTTTGTAATTGGTTCTATCATTAAAAAACATGGAGAAAGTTTATTATTAAACTGCCAAAACTTGGTGTTTGCGGTACACCCTGCAGCACATTTTGCTCTTGTTTTTCAATCAGCATCTCATTGAATCTCAACCACATTCCACCTCATTTGTGGCAGCCACCAAAACAAAGTTTCTGGAGCAGAACAACAGGAAATAACGCTTTCAAAACAGAAACAGAACCAATTTCAAGTGTTGGTACACAGTGGAATGTCTCGCTGTCCATGTGATACCACGCTCCCTTGGGCATGGCACCATTGGGAGGGTGGCTGTGGTGGCATCATGGGTGGGCACCGGTGTCTCTTCCCAGAAAGGCTGACTCACGCCTTCCCCCAAGAGCCTCTTTTCTCTTTCGGAGAAAAGAGAAGTGCTCCTTTGCTCCTGTGTTTGGTGCTACAGAGGCTCGCTTCTGTTCAGTTGATGGTTTGGGATGCTAGGCCTCCATGTCTTCCATCCCTATTTGAAGAGTTTTTCGGGTGCCTCTGTGCTGGAGAGCGTCTGCTCCTGATGGTCACCACTTGGTCTTCCACTCTTGCAGGTGAACCTTGGGCCTGACAAGATGGTCATCGACCTCACAGACGCCAATCGGCCCCGCTTCACCCTTCAGGAGCTGCGGGAGGTGCTCCAGGAGCGCAACCAGCTGAAGGCCCAGCTGCTGGTGGCTCAGGAAGAGCTCCAGTGCTACAAGAGGTGAGCAGCCGGCACTTCTTGGGAATGTTCTCGGGGCAGATGGGAAGCTCTGGCTTCGCACACAAGCCCCTCGCATGCACTGGACAGATCAGGAGGTGCGTCCTGTGGCTCCAATTAAACTCTGGATGAACCAAGGATTGAGGGTTTCCACAGTGCTCTCCATTGATATTGCTACAAGTCTTAGCAATTGGATACGAACGGCAGAATAGCCCTGCCTGTCCTTATGAAAGAGAGGCCGTGCATTCCACTCAGTGATTGTTCCGCCTCATCAAGGGATACAATTCTGGATATTGTGTCTATGCTTTGGTTTTCCTTGTGGAGAGAAAAAACAGGATCTAAATAAAGATTGATGATGATGGTGATGATGATAATGCGCAGAGATGCAACAGAACATGTTGCCCCTGCCAGCGTGGCACATTCAGATTGCTGGCTGGGTCATTGATCTCAAAACTAAGCAGTGGTAGACTGTTCCTGTACATGAAGGCTCTGATTTGCTTGACCTATAAACCTCTTTTCATCCTTTTTATTATTTTTTCAGTGTGCAAAAGTGCTGCCATTTCAGAGCTGTCAATGCTTTTATTTTCATCTTGTGAAAAAAGCTCTTGGTGTCCCCACAAAAGTCATGGCACGCAATGTGGCGAATGGATTACACTATGTAACTATCATTTTGTGTTGCTGGGTTATGAATGTCATTTCTTAATTGGTTCTGTAATAAAAACAATAATGAAAGTTTATTAAACTGTCAAAATTTTGTTTTTGTGGGACATTGCGCAGCCCATTTTGTGATAGCTTTTCAATGAATATTAATTTATTAATATTTATTTGTGGTATTTGTATGTTGCCCTTCTCAGTTCTGAAGGGGACTCAGGGTGGTTCATATATCTCATCGAGTCTGAACCAATTTGACAAAACTTGTGGCAGCCACAAAAATGAGTACAGTAGAGTCTTGCTTATCCAACCTTCGCTCATCCAATGTTCTGTTTTATCCAATGCAGTCTGCCTCCCCCGGAATCCACAGCTGTTTCAATACATTGCAATGTTTTGGTGCTACATTCGTAAATACAGTAATTACTGCATAATGTTACTGTGTATTGAACTTTTTCCATTGATTTGTTGTAAAATATGGTTTTGGTGCTTAATTTGTAAAATCACAATGTAATTTGACATTTAATAGGCTTTTCTTTAATCCCTCCTTGTTCAACATTTTCACTTATCCAACGTTCTGCCAGCCTATTTATGTTGGATAAGCAAGACTCTACTGTAGTTGTTATTCTGGAGGATAAGAAATACTTTCAAAGTAAGGACCACACGATTAAACACTTTCAAACCAGGATTGGATTTTTTTAAAAATGTGTCATAGTGTTATAGGATTGTTAGGATGCAGTGCTGTGCAGAGCTTTGACTTTTTCAAGAAGTGATGTCTCTGGTCTCCTTTTACGTCCCCAGTGGCTTCATCTCACAGAAGCAGGACTGGGTTGAGCCAACACAGAAAGGCCTGGCGGTCGGCACAGCTTCTGGGCCCAGCAAAGGAAGGGAAGAGAAAGCCACCATCAGGCGCCTGTGAGTACTATGGCCGCTTCTTCTTTGGTAGGCGGTTTGAAAAAACAAGAATGGAAAAGAAAATAGAAAGGCATTCTAACCTCCAGTTGGAGAACCTTTTATGAAGACTGGCTAAACCACTGGTTCTCAACCTGTGGGTCCCCAGGTATTTTGGCCTACAGCTCCCAGAAATCCCAACCAGTTTACCAGCTGTTAGGAGTTTTGGGAGTTGAAGGCCGAAACATCTGGGTATCCACAGGTTGAGAACCACTGAGCTAAACCATCAAACCGTTTCAGATCATAGAATCATTGAGTCGGACAAGACTTCATGGGCCATCCAGTCCAACCCCCTGGCAGGAAGCAGGAAAATCGCATTCAAAGTGCTCTGAACAGATGGTCATCCAGCCTCTGTTTCAAAGCTTCCAAAGAAGGAGCCTCCACCACAATCCAAGGAAGAGAGTTCCACCGCTGAACAGCTCTCAAAGTCAGAAAGTTCTTCCTAATGTTCAGATGGAATCTCCTTTCCTTCCTGTAGTTTGAAGCTATTGTTCCACATCCCAGTCTCCAGGGCAGCAGAAAACAAGCTTGCTCCCTACTCCCTATGACTTCCCCTCACATATTTATACATGGCCCATCATGTTTAGCCTTTTCTTCTGAAGGCTAAACATGCCCAGCTCTTTAAGTCACTCCTCATAGGGCTTGTTTTTCAGACCCTTGATCATTTTAGCCACCCTCCTCTGGACACTTTCCAACTTGTCAACATCTTCCTTCAATTGTGGTGCCCAGAACACAGTGTGATTACAGGTGTGGTCTGACCAAGGCAGAATAGAGGAGTAGCATGACTTCCCTGGATCTAGACACTAGACTCCTATTTATGCAGGCCAAAATACCATTGGCTTTTTTTTGCAGCCACATGACTCTGTTTGCTCATGTTCACCTTCCTTTCCATGAGGACTCAAAGATCTTTTTCACATGTATTGTCATCGAGCCAGGCATCATCCCCCATTCTGTATCTTTGCATTTCATTTATTGAAATGCCATCTTAAGCCAAAATGACCTGAAGGATAATTTTCCCATTCTGATAGTTTCTGGAGCAGTGAATCGTCTTTGTAATGGACCATCACTTCTGGTTCCCTGCAATAGTAGCAATGCAGTTCAAATAAGTCAGGGTCGCTGATTGAGAAATTACCTGTTTTTAGTGTTTGATGTTCTACTCCAACTTGGGCTTGACCAAGATATGGTTGCTTTCTTTGGATGCAATTATTGGGTGGATTCCATTATTTACCAAAAGAGAATTTTTCACAAACTGGAATCTAGTGATTTCAGGTAGTGTTGGCAAGTGCTCTGCATGAATTTGAGCAATTCCCCTTCCCAGATAGAGATATAAATGATATTGATATTGTTATTATTGCAAATGTTGATGTACATGTATTTTATGTATTTTATGGCACTATTACGTGCTGTTCTGTAAGCTGCTCAGAGTCCCTTTCGGGAGATGATGGCGGAATATAAATCAAGTAGCAGCAGCAGCAGCAGCAGTAGTAGTAGTAGTTGTTGTTGTTATTATTTTTTTATTATTATTATTATTATTATTATTATTATTATTATTATTATTATTAGTGAGGATCAAACCTGAGCTCTTCCAACCATGCCTTTTTCAGTCCGCTTTCCTGGTTCAAACCAGGATGATGGGATCTGGAAGGCCAACTCCTCGGGGAAGGTACTTGAGGAAAACTCTTTGGCACCACAAAGCATGTGCTCTGCATTGCTGATTTTGGGAGTTGTGTTCCCCAAAGTAACTTTCCCAAGATCTCTTTCGCCAAATGAATTGGACATTGACTTTGAAGACAACACTCCTACATATAACAACTATTGATGACATCGTATTAGAAGCAGTTCCCCATTTTGCATGTCGAGCACCTCTCCTAAGATGCTTAAAAGCACTATCTGAAAACCAAGTGCTAAAGGTGAATTTCCCTGATTACCTTTGGTTTCTGTGATGGGATTTCAGCCCTGCTGAGTTGCCTTTCTGCTCTTGTGTGTCTATAGGTTCAATTTTAAAAGGCCGTGAGGAGGTTTCTCCCATTTGCTCTTCAGAGACTCAGGCTGCAGAGGAGACCAAGCAGCAATACCTGGATGCCGAGAACTGCAATTTTCAGACGTTTGTCTGGCTTGTCGTCTGCAGCCCCTGGAAGCGCCAGGATCTCTTGTTTAAGTTATATGTCAAGTTAGCAGCTTTTCTACTTTTGATCTTCTTATTGGCATAAACCAGCGCTGGGGAATTAGTAGCCTTACACACCGGTTGGACTACAAGCCCCATCATCCCTCACTCTTGCCTTAAGGGGGCTGGGAATGCCGTAGAGTCTTGTTTTGAGGAACTAAAGAGGAAAATAGTGCTATTTGTGGATAGTGCAAAGTGATGGTGCTTGTGGGTTTTGGGCGGGGGGGATTGAACAAGCATATACTCACTTGGGGACCAATATTGAATAATTTTGTCATTTTTTAATGGAAGGGGTTGGGGAGCTTTTGAAACCCCAAAAGTGAGGTTTGGAGAGCTACACCGCTGCTGAAATTGAGCTCGGTAGCTTCCCAGTGTAAAGAACAGCACTACCTCTCTCTCATCTCTGTTATGTTACAAACATCCTACTGGAAATGCTTCTGTGTTTATTAAGAGGCAAAATAAATTTCTTACACTTTGTTCTTAGAATCATTTTAGAGTTGTTTGTAAGGACTGCAACATTCACTGGAAGTGTTCTTTCAAAGGGGGGAGTTCTTCAGTGGAGCAACAAATCCCAAAATCCCCCAAAGGGCTGGCACAGTGATAATTTCCATACTTTTCCAGTCATGGAACCCTTCAGAAGATCTCTATTTTCTGCAGAGCCATAACTCTGTCCCTGATTTGTTTAATCAAAATATCATAGAATCCTAGAGTTGGAACTGACTAAGGTCATCCAGTCCAACCTCATTTGGCCATGCAAGGAAACATAACCCAAACCCTCTGAACAGATGGCCACCCATTCTCAGTTTTAAAAAACCCAAGGAAGGTGACTCCACCACATGCCAATATATTCCAGATCATTTTAGGCTAATTTAGGCTAAGAGATGGGTGGGATATAAAATAATAATAATAATAATAATAATAATAATAATAATAATTCAAATGCTTCTCCCAATTTCCTATTATAACATCTAGTTGTTGAATTTTATTTGTGTCATTTATTAATAATATCGCAGTGTCCCAAATGTCTTTCATCTCAAAAACTGTACAAAAATGGTCTGGAAACGTGGACTCAATATGAAAAACTGACGACGTCGGAATGAAGTTTGTTGTAAAATGTCAAAATGTATAACCAGTGACTACAAACCTGATAGCGACAGTGGTGGCAATCAAATAGCTAGTACAGAGACTACATAGAAAGCTTGCAAGCCAATAACACAACCCAATCAAGTCTGGAAAAGTCTGCCAATGAGGCATGACTAAACCCTAATCCGGAACACCCAGAGGCAGGAACAACAAGCAGTTCATGTTTAATAAATATCTCATTTTATTTATTATCTTGCACACAGAAATGTTCTCTTCAAGGTTTATTTTTCTTCGAAAAATACATTACTGAGCCCTGTCCCTGTATCCCCCACCCCCACCCCCACCCGACCTTTCCCCACATTGCTGCTCAAGCGTGCACCCAGGAAGACTCTGAACCTTTGGAAAAGATCTTCAAACCTTAGGTAGAAAAGTGATCTTGAGCAGAGTTGCCCAAATTCCTTTGTAGGACTACAAGTCCCAGAATCCCACTGTCAACGTGGGGCTGAGCATCCTGGGAGTTGTCGTCCAAAGAAGGAAGATCGCCAAATCTCTGATCTTTGGAAGAAAAAAACAAATCAAGAATAAGGACCTAAGCTACTGCCCCTATTCTGGATTCCCTTCATCTGCTATGGATGAAAAGCAAGGCCTTCGATGGAACACAGTATCTTCCAAGGGTTTATACTTGGGGAAGACTTTGAGGGAAGACGACCGAGACAAAGTCCCGTTTTCTCAGGCAAGACTCTTACTGATTCTACTCATGCTGTCAGAAACCGCATGCGCAACAAGACACGGAGGGAGCAGGTTATGAATCCTGCGCTGCGGCTCTGTCCGCCAGAGTAAATAAATAATCTTGGTTTTGCAGCAGGACTCAGCCATGCAGGCAAAGCCAAGTTTTCACCTAGAAATTTTGCTCCTAAAAAAGACCCTATGTACAAAAGCCACCTCCAAAGGCAGCCAGGGATTCTATAAAAAAGCGCCTTATTCCCAAGCCCTGTGTTTTCATGTTATTTCGCCACCCCACCCCGTTTTCCATTGGCGAGCAGGAAGAACAATCGACAAAAGCACAACTCCTCATTCAACAGTTCAGCTTCACATTTCGATACAGATCAAATGCCACTTATCGTTTTAAAAAAGATCCAGCAACTTCAATAGTAGAATTCACATCTCATATTTTGCTTTTAAAAAAAGGATGGGAGCAGAGAGGAAGGCACACACACACACACACCAAAGAAGGCTCCATCCAAGGAAGCAGTGGCCCTTTCACAAAAGAAAGCAGCCTGAGTACACACACTCAAGCTTGGGGGATTCTGGGAGATATAGTTCTCCCAAAGGAAGAATCCCAAGCTGAAATCACACCCACGGTTGTGCCGATCATCTTTCCCTCCCAATTCTGCCCCCCCTCCCCAAACCCAGCACATTTATTGCGGTCTGTACTTTGGAGGAGGACAGTCCTACGGGTCTAACTCACAAAATGGTGGAAGCACAGGTATTATAGGCAGAAGAGCCACTCAACAATCCCTCTTCCCATTATGGCGTAGAGCAGTAGTTCTCAACCTGGGGGTCCCCAGGTGTTTTGACCTACAATTCCCAGAAATCCCAGCAAGTTTACCAGCTCTTAGGATTTCTAGGAGTTGAAGGCCAAAACATCTAGAGACCCACAGGTTGAGAACCACTGGCCTAGAACTTCAGGGCAACTTTCTGTGAGTGATGGCTTTGCAAAATCAGGGCACAATTCCAGCTCACTGGTCCCAGATTCAAGACCATCAAGGGAAGAAATGCAGAAATCAGGCAATGCAGAGGCAACTTCCAGTTTTCTTCCTCTGGACAGACGGAGGCCTCAGGAAGCAGCAGTTGCCGTATCAGTGCTTTGATGCTTTGGATCTATTATATCCAAAGAGTTGGGGACATATTGCCATCAGCTTCTCTAGTTACCAACCAGATAGCTTTTGACCCAAGATAACCTTTTCCAGCTGTATTAAGGATTTGATGCACATGGAATAGCGAGCCCCAATGTCCAAATGCAAATTCTGAGGATCCTAAGGAAGACTAGAAAGGCTCAAAAAACCCTAGAGCCCAATGAAAGCCAGCTAAAAGACTGAAGGAAGGGGTAAGAAGGGAGAACAGGCATGGCTCAAGCATGGGGTTCTGACTACGCCTCCCAGAAACCCCAAGATTCTGGGCATGCAAGCCAGGGAATTCTGGGAGCTGCAGTCCAGAAAAGTAATCCCAAGCTCTGGAAGCAAGCTCCTCCCAGCTAAATATTTACAGACTGCATTGAGATGCTTAACGTCCACCCTTTCCAGGACAATTTGCATTATCATTTCCACCCTCTGCTCCTCAAAGGAGCAAAAGAGTGACACACACTCCCTTTCCCCACCCCCAGAGTGGACATGCTTCAAAAGCAGCTCTATCTTACAAAAGTCCCAAAGGGACATAATCAGGAAGCCCTAAGAAATCCATCTCTCTCTATGCCAATGGATAGAAGGGCTGGGAGTCCAGGCCAAACTACCAAATAGCATCATTCAAGAATTTGGTTCTTGGTCTACTCAAGGAAAGCATGCAAGCCTGTAACAGGAGCTTCAAATCATCAGGAAGGCGCAGACGTTTGGAAGTGATTTACCATGAGAGTTGTAAACAAGGCTATCAAGTCCGCTTTCAAGAAAAAAAAAAGTCCCATCTAGAGAGGAAGAACAGCTAGTGTTTCAGCCATGGATGAGCTTCCAGAGATGCTTTGCTCCGATCTCCATAATCGTACAAGAGTTCTTCGCCCGCTTTGATGTCACGGGAGGCGACCAAGATGAGGTGCGGGACGCCATTGATGTCGTGGAGTTTTGTCTGACAGTTGCCACATTTGCTGTGATTGATCAGCCTCCCAAGACGACTGGTTTCTTTTGTGGCATCAACACTGGATGGGGCGGGGGAAAGGAGGTTGAGAAGACAAGCAAAACAAAGCATTATTTTCTCTGTCATTTACCCACATTGTTACGCATTTTCATATGGCACCAGTCATAAAATCCACAACAAACAATGACTACTTCTAGTAATGATCATTACGGAATCTCCCTGACCCAGGCATTGCTGGGTACCTAAGTAAGTACGGCACATAATAAAAAAGAAGTATCGGTCCAGCAACGTCCAGAGCAGAGTTTACAGCTGGGTGAACAACTTATCCTGCAATGCTGGTGGACTTTGGCAGTTAAGGAATGCTACTTAATAAGTGAAGAGTCCTTTAGAGCAGAGCTACCCAAATATTTCATGTTAGTGACACACTTTTCAGACCTGCATCATTTCTCGATGCATTCAGTTTTACTAGCAAATCAGAAGTTAACTGAAACAGGTACATCCCTGCCTCAAGACATTATGACAGACAAGTAACAAAATGTATATTATTATTATTATTATTTGCCCCCAGTGGTGCAATAGGTTAAACCCTTGTGCCGGCAGGACACCTGACCAACAGGTCAGCGGTTTGAATCCAGGGAGAGTGGGTTGAGCCCCCTCTGTCAGCTCTGGCTCCCCATGCGGGGACATGACAGAAACCTCCCACAAGGATGGTAAAACATCAAACATCCGGGCGTCCCCTGGACAACATCCTTGCAGACGGCCAATTCTCTCACACCAGAAGCAACTTGCCATTTCTCAAGTCACTCCTGACACGAAAAAAACCATTCATAAATTGTGATAACAAAATATATGGGGACCCAATGTATCTCATGAAGGCCATTCATTTAGATTTCTGAAAATAAATGATTTATTGCTTATTTTACATCACGCGACACACCTACGCTCTGCAGATGCCAAACCAATGTGTTGCGACACATTTCCAGTCAATTTTTAAAAAATCTGCCTCATCATGAATACTTCTGTTAAGTCAAAACATGTTGGTTTGTAAAATCAATTTGTAGAATACCGCATTAACTAATAGTGCAATAATTGCATACACAGGGTTGCTCTGAGTTGCTCTGGGCTGTCTAGCCATCTTCTAGAAGCATTCTCTCCTGACATTTCACCCACGGCAGGCACCCCAAGAGGTTGTGAGGTCTGTTGGAAATTAGGCAAGTGGGGTTTATATATATACCTGTGGAATAATGTCCAGGGTGGGAAAAAGAACTCTTGTCTGTTGGAGGCAAGTGTGAATGTTGCAATTGGCCAGCTTGATTAGCATTGAATGGCCTTGCAGCTTTGAAGCCTGGCTGCTTCCTGTCTGGGGGAATCCTTTGTTGGGAGGTGTTACCTGGCCCTGATTGTTTTCTGTCTGGAAATCCCATTTGCTGAGTGTTGCTCTTTATTTACTATCCTGATTTTAAAGATTTTTAATACTGGTAACCAGATTTTGTTCATTTTCATGGTTTCCTCCTTTCTGTTGAAATTGTTCACATGCTTGTGGATTTCAATGGCTTCTCTGTGGAATTCCCCTAGGCAGAAAGTAGTCAGGCTTTGAAGCTGCAAGGCTATTCAATGCTAATCAAGCTGGCCAATTGCAACATTCATGCTTGCCTCAAACAGACAAACGCTCTTTCTCCCACCTTGGACATTATTCCACCGATATATAAATCCCACTTGCCTAGTTTCCAACAGACCTCTGAGGATATTTGCCATAGATGTGGGTGAAACATCAGGAGAGAATGCTTTCAGAACATGGCCATACAGCCCGGAAAACTCCCAGCAACCCAGTGATTCCAGCCACGAAAAACTTCAACAACAAACTGTATACACACTTTCCATGAATTGTTCTCATTGATCTGAGGCATGGACAGGTACTCAGCTGCACTGTAAATGATGCAAACCTATTTGTATTACTTTCTTGATGCTTATGGCACAATGCAGAAGTAAACTTTTCAAAGTGCCAATGTGAAAATCCTTCAAACTTTAATCCATACAGATAAACAAAACCCAAAACAGAATTCTACCTGCAAGTTAGCAGAAGCTGCCTTACCCCAGAATCTAAAATATTAACTTCACTGGAAGAATATAAGCTTACCAGTATGTTTTAGTAAGGTATTGAAAGTAGTACATGTAGCAGCCTGTCGTTGGGTCCTGGGCATAAGTAGCTTCTCGTTTCTTAGCGTCCGTGATCTCAATGAGATCCCCGTGATATTCAACCACAAAATCACCCCGATGAAATGGCTTTGTAGCAATCACACCTCGCCCTTTGCCATCAATGAAGTCGATCTGCGGAGAAAATAAAATGTACAGCATCCCGATAATATACTTATGCTCTCCTTTTGAGACCCTCAAAAGTAGCACACTTTGTGACACAGAGGTTTTTAAAACCATTGTTACACAATGAGATTTTAATATCCCACTAAAGCCAGAATTGTTTATTTTGGGAACGGTTGGTGAACGATGAGAATGAAGGAGGAATGCTGCAATATATGATGACTGTAGCAAGACTACTATATGCGTAAAGATGGAAGATTCCAACAATACCAACAAAAGAAATTAACTTATTTGGTAGAAATTGATAAACTATTAATTGATATGAATTGCAGGCTTTGATAATTTTAGGATTGTTTTAATAATTATGATAACAACAACAATAACAGCTACTTTATTCTTGTATCCTGCCACCATCTCCCTGAAGAGACCCGGGGCGGCTTACACAAGACACAAAGTGCCTAAAACAAGACATGGCATAAAACACAGTATAAAATACAACTGAAAAAACATATAAACATGTAACAACAACATAAAGCTCAGAATAAAACAGCACACACCTGTCGGTGGTGATAACTAATGTAAACACGGCCAGGCTGTAAACAATAAGGCCAGGCAATGGGAAAAGTACAGAGCTGTAACCATGCAACGAGGGCATGGGATAAAGTGCAAGGCTGCGTAACAAATTCAGAGATCAACTAGGGCAGTGTTTCTCAACCTTCCTAATGTCATGGCCCCTTAATACAGTTCCTCATGTTGTGGTGATCCCTAACCATTAAATTATTTTATTTGCTACTTCATAACTATAATTTTGCTACTGTTATGTAATGTCAGTATCTGATATAAAGGATGTATTTTCATTCACTGGACCAAATTAGGCACAAATACCCGATACACCCAAAGTTGAATACTAGTGGGATTGGGAGGGATTGATTTTGTCATTTGGGAGTTGTAGTTGCTGGGATTGATAGTTCACCTACCATCAAAAAGCATTCTGAACTCCACCAACGATGGAATTGAACCAAACTTGCCACAAAGAACTCCCATGACCAATAGAAAATACTGGAAGGGTTTGGTGGGCATTGACCTTGCGTTTTGGAGTCGTAGTTCACCTATATGCAGAGAGCACTGTGGACTCAAACAATGATGGATCCAGACCAAACTTTGCACGAATATTAAATATGCCCAAATGTGAACCCTGGTGGAGTTTGGGGAAAATAGACCTTGACATTTGGGAGTTGTAGTTGCTGGGAGTTATAGTTTATCTACAATCAAAGAGCATTCTGAACCCCACCAATGACAGAATTGGGCCAAACTTCCCACACAGAACCCTCATGACCAACAGAAAATACTGTGTTTTCTGGTGGTCTTTGGCAACCCCTCTGACACCCCCTCACGACTCCCCGGGGGTCCCGACCTCCAGATTGAAAAATGCTGAACTAGGGACTAGGTGTTCTCAAAAGCTTGTTTGAATAGTCAGATCTTCAGGTCCCTACGGAAGGAGGACCGTGTGGGGGCCTGCCTTATCTCCCTGGGGAAGGCATTCCACAGCTGTGGGACCACCACCGAGAAGGCTCTCTCACATGTTCACACCAACCACGCTTCAGATGGTGGCAGGACTGCGAGGAAGGCCTCCCCGGCAGATCTCAGAGCCCATGCCAGTTCATAGGGGGGAATGCAGTGATGAAGATAGACAGAATTCAAACCATTTAGGGCTTTATAGGTCATAACCTGCACTTTGATTCAGGACCGGAAACTTATCGGCAGCCAATGGAGTTGCTTTAGTAGGGGCATTGTGTGTTCCCTATAGCTAGCTCCAGTTAGTAGCCTGGCTGCCGGTAGTAGAGTGCATTGCAATAATCCATTGAGATGTAATTAAGGCGTGGACCACCTTGACCAAAGAAGTGTAAGAATTGTAAAAATAATAAAAAAGATGTTATTAGTTAATTTTATAATCACAGAGAAAGAAAGTCAGATGTCATTTTCTTTTCTTTTTTTCTTTCTTTCTGCCTTTTTGTTTCCTCTTACTTTTTTTTTCTTTTGTGGACGTTTTTGTACAGTTCTTTGTAATGACTGCTTCCTACTGGAAATAATGGATGCAGACATGGATAGAAGCAAAAATATACTTTTTAAATTACTCAGTGACGGCTGACAGAATAGTTTATGCAAGGAATTGGAGAGCAAAAGAAATACCCTCAACAGAACAATGGTTAATAAAAATAATGGAAATTATGAATACGGACAAATTAACCCAATTATTAGCAAAATACCAAGGAAGAGCTAAGAAAATTATGGACTGGTAACCTTTTAAAGAATATATGAGAAAAAAATGAGGACGATAATATAGTATGATGGAATAAAATGAAAATTTATCTCACAAAGAAGAAGAGTGAAAAGGGGAAGAAATAATCAAAAAGAAGGAATTCAGGATAATAATAAATCACGATGAAAAAGATTGGAAGTTAATAAACTTTTCTCTCATTCTCCCTTTCCCCTCTGTATGTGTGTGTGTGTGTATACTTTTTTCACCTTCTTCTTCCCCTGCTAAAGGAAAAGGTTTCCCGACATTAAATCTAGTCGTTTCTGACTCTGGAGGGTGGTGCTCATCTCCATTTCTAAGCCGAAGAGCCAGCATTGTCCGTAGACACCTACAAGTTCATGTGGCCATCATGACTGCATGGAGTGCAGTTACCTGCAGGTATCGTTCTACTCACATTTGCATGTTTTCAAACTGCTAGGCTGGCAGAAGCTGAGGCTAATAGCTAACTTTTTATTATATGTAATTAACTTACTTTATCAAATAACAATTAGTTGTAAAAATGTATTTGAAAGACCCTTAATAAAAGCATATTTAAAAAATCATACCTTCATGCCATCTTCTTTCCCACTTTCTATTAACTCGTCTATCTTTTTCTTCTCTTCAATCTACAAAGAGATAGGAAACATACCTAGGTGGTCAATAGCAGCGCTATTACCAAATTATTATTATTATTAAACTTTATTTGTACCCCGCTAGCATCTCCGGAAGGACTCGATGCGGCTTACAAAGGCCAAGGCCTCAACACACAACATAACAATACAAAACCCAAGGCAAATTAAAACAATTAAAGCAATATAAACAACAAGCAATAAACAATACACTAAGACACAATAAAACTGGGCCGGGCCAGAGTAATGGGTACAGGATTAAAAGTGCTGATGTGACAGGTGGTATATAAGGCTTATAGGGCAAGTGCAGTGCAGTGTGCGGCAATCTTAGTTTTAATAAAGTGCTTCTGGGACTTGGTATTGGAGATTTCCTATTCTGGGAAGGCACATCGGAACAGCCAGGTCTTCAAGTTCTTTCTAAAGACTGCCAGGTAGGGGCCTGTCTAAGATCTTTGGGGAGGGTGTTCCAGAGTCGGGGGGCCACCACAGAAAAGGCCCTGTCTCGTGTCCCCACCAAACGCGCTTGCGACGCAGGCGGGATCACGAGCAGGGCCTCTCCAGATGAACGAAGTGAACGCGTGGGTTCGTAGACGGAGATGCGGTCACGCAGGTAGGATGGTCCCAAACCGTTCAGGGCTTTGTAGGTAAGCACCTGCACCTTAAATTGGGCTCGGAAAATAAACGGCAGCCAGTGGAGCTCCTTGAACAGGAGGGTTGACCTCTCTCTGTAAGGGGCCCCAGTTAACATCCTGGCTGCTGCCGTTGGACCAGTTGGAACTTCCGAGCCGTTTTCAAGGGCAGCCCCACGTAGAGCGCATTGCAGTAGTCCAATCTGGAGGTGACCAAGGCATGGACCACCCCGGCCAGATCAGCCTTCGTGAGGTACGGTCGCAGTTGGCGCACAAGTCTCAATTGTGCAAAAGCCCTCCCAGACACCGCCGACGCCTGAGCCTCAAGCGTAAGCGATGAATCCAAGAGGACTCCCAAACTGCGGACCTGTGGCTTCAGGGGGAGTGTAACCCCGTCCAGCACAGGTTGCCACCCTATACCCCGGTCATAGGAACATGAAGGAACATAAAGCTGCACTTCCCACTCAGTCTCCTGCAATGGAGTTTGCACGGTTTCTTGGTGGAAAGCCCACCCTTAAAAATATATATATTTATTCAAATGGACAGAGGTGGTAAGGTGATCAAGAGGTGCAACAGTACCTGCAACTCCTTTTTGCTCTTCCGGGAGCTTCTTCTAACAGGAAAATAGTCTGTAACCTTTCGGTTCTGTTGCGTTTTCCCTTGGACTCTGAGAAAGACGGAGAACACCATGTAGATGCGAAAGGGATTCTTATCTTATTGTGACCCAGCATTCCCCCAAATCCCAGCTGTTCCATGGCTATGCAGTCAATTGGATGTCATGGAGTTCTGCACAGGCACTTACTTTCTCCTGGGGCTAGGCTTTGCCTTGGTTCCCTTTTTCTGAGTTTGTGTTTCATTCACGGCATCAGCAGACTTGGAAGACAGAAGTGGAGGAGCTTCTTCGGTTTCTGGCTTTTGCTTGGAGGAAGACGGCTGGGATTCATGGCTGCTCTCCACTTCCGGACACTTGAATTTCACAACAGCTCGACCGGCATGACCAAGGTTTCGTCTACCTGCAAATAATAGGGTTCGGGTAGGAGAAAGAAAGGGAATCCAATGTAAAGGGTTATCCTTTTGCTCCCACCAAAACAGCAAACTCTCACTGTAAAGACCTATCTCTTCTGGCTTGCCCATCCAATCGGTTTTAATCATGAATTTGAAACTTGTGTCTTGTGTTCACTACACTGCAATCTTTTTTCTCTGTATTTTAATAGACTGTATGTATTTTGTAGAAAGACAGTTTAAACTGATGATGTGTTTTTACCTGCCTCAAGGCAGGTAAGAAGTAAAATTATTATTATTATTATTATTATTATTATTATTATTATTATTAATAATAATAATACTATTATTACAGGCAGTCCCCAAGCAAGAAAGGTTCTGTAGCTTTGTTCTTAAGTTGAATATGTCAGAAGAGGTACATTTTGGAAGTGGAACTTCATACACACACACACATATATATGGGTCAAAAAGTAGTGCCTCCATCACTCTAACCTTTCATTCTTTCACAGCTACCGGACTATCTATGCATGATATGACAGAGGTAACCTCATTCTACTGATATAGTCTTTTCTTTTTCTGATTGACTGATTAGAACCATGAATCCGAAGCTAAAAGAAAGAGTCGTCATTGAATTTCTGGCCAAAGAAGGTTGTGCACCTAAGGACATCCGTTATTGCTTGAAGAATGTCTATAATTTGGCTGCTTCTAACTTTTACCTGTTTGAACCTCTGAAAGACAACCTACATGGTTTCAGATTCAATGACCTGAATGATGTTAAAAACAATTTAACAATTTTAATGTTTTAGTGAATTATGGGTTGTGATGTTTTAAATTATTGTCTATGAATCTTTTGCTGTGAACCGGACTGAGTCCTTCTGCGGAGGTGAGAAGACTGATATATAAAAGTTCCAAATAAATAAATAAATAAATAATAAACAGTCATGGGTCACTAAGCCAAACCCTGATTTTTTTCCAAAATGGTTTTGATGCCTAGTCTAGTTGTGTCCAACTCCAGGGGTTGGTGCTCATCTCAATTTCTAAGCCGTAGAGCCGGCGTTGTCCATAGACGCCTCCTAGGTCTTGTGGCCAGCATGACTGCATGGAGCGCCGTAACCTTCCTGCCGGAGCGGGAGTATTGATCTACTCACATTTGCATGTTTTCAAACTGCTATATTGGCAGAAGCTGGGGCTAACAGTGGGAGCTCACCACACTCCCTGGTTTTGAACTGCTGACCTTTTGGTCAGCAAGTTCAGAAGTTCAGCAGTTTAATCCTCTGCGCCTACGGGGCCTATGTGAAACTATGGTGCAAATGTGTCCAAATTTATGGTGACTGTTGAACTGTAGCTTTGTGTAGAGGACAGCTCTGTAGCAACTTCTACTGTTTATAGATTCATTCATAACATTTTTATGATACAGGAGGCAAAACTTTTTGACCCACCTGTGTGTGTGTATGCTATACGTGGGGCTGCCTTTGAAGACTGCTCGGAAACTTCAACTAGTCCAATGGGTGGCAGCTAGACTATTGACTGGAGCGTCATACAGAGAGAATACCACCCCTCTGTTATGTCATTTCCACTGGCTGCTGGTCCAATTCCGAGCACAATTCAAAGTGCTGGTTTTGACCTATAAAGCTCTATACAGCTCTGGCCCTGCTTACCTGTCCAAACATATCTCCCTCTACATCCCACCTCAAAATTTAAGACCTTCTGGGGAGGCCCTGCTCCCAGCACTTGGCGGGGACGAGGGACAGGGCCTTCTCGGTGGTGGCCCTCCGCCTGTGGAACTCGCTCCCCAGCGAAATCAGGTCAAAAAATCACTCCTCGCCTTCAAGAGGAAATTGAAAATATGGTTATGGGACCCGGCCTTTGGGTAACTGGCAGATAATTGACGATGGTAATAATGATAATGTTATGGAAAATGGACTATGGACAGGCTTCCAATTGTGCTGTGCTTGCTGAATTTGTTTCTACATAAGGCTAGACAGACAGTATTACTGCATTTTTCATTAATGTACTTTTTATTTTAAAACTAATTTTAAAATTAATTTACTGTGTTTTTATATGTAATTACTGTATGTATTATTTATATGCAATGGCATTGAATTGTGCCGGATGTAAGCCACCCTGAGGGCCCCCCCCCCCGGGGTGTTGAGAAGGGTGGGGTACAAATGTTTGAAATAAATAAATAAAAATAATAATGTATGTATGTGTGTCTATGTATGTGTGTGTATGGTTGTTCAGGCCTGCTGTAGACAAATATCTCTGAATCCCAGTCTATCGAAAAGCTGAATAGACATGGAGGTAAGTCCATGTCACCCACAGCCTTTGCTGCTCTGATACAAGGGACAGAACCCATGCAACCCTAACCTTTAAAAAAAAACATGTTTCCCCAAAAACAAGATGGTGTCTTATATTAATGTTTGCTCCCAATGATGTGCTAGGTCTTATTTTCAGGGGATGCCTTATTTTTCTATGAAAAAGAATTCACATTTATTGTTGAACAAATAAAATGAACATTTATGATATACTGTACAGTAGTTGTCTGGTCACACTGGTTGCCTGATACACACAGGGCCATCAAAAATAAGGGCTGTAAAGTACCTGGGTCCACACACTATCTGGAGTCTGTAAAGATCTCCCACAGCAGTTCTTGGACCACTTGTACAGCAGGGAGGGTATTGCAGCTTCCGGCCACCAGGGGAACTAGGTCTTACTTTTGGGGGAGGCCTTATATTTAGCAATTCAGCAAAACCTCTACTACAGTGTTTCTCAACCTGGTGGTCGGGACCCCGGGGGGGGGGGGGGGTCGCAAGGGGATGTCAGAGGGGTCGCCGAAGACCATCAGAAAACACAGTATTTTCTGTTGGTCATGGGGGTTCTGTGTGGGAAGTTTGGCTCAATTCTATTGGTGGGGTTCAGAATGCTCTTTGATTGTTAAGTGAACTATAAATCCCCAGAACTACAACTCCCAAATGTTAAGGTCTATATTCCCCAAACTCCAGCAGTGTTCACATTTGGGCTTATTGAGTATCTGTGCCAAGTTTGGGCCAGATCCGTCATTGTTTGAGTTCACAGTGCTCTTTGAATGTGGTGAACTACAACTCCAAAACTCAACGTCAATGCCCATCAAACCCTTTCAGCATTTTCTGTTGATCATGGGAGTTCTGTGTGCCAAGATTGGTTCAATTCAATCGTTAGTGGAGTTCAGAATGCTCTTTGATTGTAGGTAAACTATAAATCCCAGCAACTACAACTCCCAAATGACATAAGCACCCCCTCCCTGCATCCCACCAGTATTCAAATTTGGGTGTATCGGGTATTTGTGCCAAATTTGGTCCAGTGGAGGAAAACACACCCTGCATATCAGATATTTACATTACATTTCATAACAGTAGCAAAATTACAGTTATGAAGTAGCAACACAAATAATTTTATGGTTGAGGGTCACCACAACATGAATAACTGTATTAAGGCGTCATGGCATTAGGAAGGTTGAGAACCACTGCTCTACTAGGTCTTATTTTCAGGGGATGTCATATTTTCGGGGAAACACGGTAAATCATTTTTCTTAATTATGCAATAAATAAATAGATGAAGAAACACTCCATACACTATCAACATAAACTCATCAAACACACTAAAACACAATAGACTTCAGACTTCTCGCTTTCCATCATCTTCCTTGTCTATTCATAGTTTTTTAACCACAGATACATACATTGATTCTGACATGAAATATTTACCCAAAGAAAACAACGTAGATTCTGCGGCATTCTCATCTTATATTCCACAAAATTCGTTTTAACTTCAGACTGTTAATCAATGAAAAGTTGAGGTACCATCCAATTTCCCAGTCTCCCATACAACAGGGGGGAAAGGACATGTGTCAATATATGAAATCTACCCAATGTTGTTTGTCTAACTATTGTTCTTCTTTTCATCACTCCTAGTATTTTATAGTAAAAGTTATGAGCAGCCAATCTGTCCAAACATGCTTGAATTAATTCACCTTGTATCTATCTGTCGACCTCTTTTTCTCGTTCTCCACTTTTGTCTTTGCTCAAGTTCTTCTATACTACTGCTACAGTCATCATGAGATTTTAGTAGCAATTACTATTGTATAAAATCTATCTCCTTATTATGGGAATGACAACCCTTTCTCTCACAGCCATATTCCAAGCAGTAGCCTGTTCACAGGTTAGAACTTCACTGAGTAGAGCTCGGGAAAATTACATTTTTTTAAATCACAACTATGCTGTTACTTCTGCAACGAACCACTGGCATAAGCTTTCTCCCTAGCAACACTTGTTTCAGACATCTATCACATAAAGACCAGTGGAGCCCATGGTGGATAAACCCTTATGCCGTCAGGATTGCTGACTGAAAGGTCGGCGATTCAAATCCGAAGAGCGGGGTGAGCTCCTGTCTATCAGCTCCAGCTTCTCATGCAGGGACGTGAGAGATGCCTCCCACAGGATGGTAAAACATCCAGGCGTCTCCTGGGCAACGTCCTTGCAGACGGCCAATTCTCTAACACCAGAAGCAACTTATAGTTTCTCAAGTCGCTCCTGACACTATATATATATAGATAGATATAGATATAGACCAATGTTGCTTTTGCAGTTATTCACACTGCACTTCTACTTTCACTTACAGGCTTTGGGGAAATCACTCTGCTGGGAAATACAGGCATTTCCTGGACTTTACCATCAGACAACAGGTAAAGAGACACATCTAACAGAATGGTCTGCCATATAGGTAATTCCTTACACAGATGAGATTAGATATTGAGGCAAAGCACTCCAACTCCGTTTTCTGCCTAACAGGATAGCTTTCAATTCCTGGCACTGGCTCCTTTCCCTTTAATGGAAGAAGTACTATTCAAGAACGGGTTTACCATTTAAATGACTGAATTACATGAATTAATATGTTAATTCTGTATCTGTGTTTGGTGAAAGTTTTTATATATATTTTTGTGTTTTTATTTATGTAATTTATTGTATATCATTTATGTTATATGCATTTGACTTGGTTGTACCTGGCATCGAGCAATCAGGAGAAGTGGGTAATAAATAAAATGTATTTATTTATTATTAATTGTTTAGACCAGTGTGACTCAGGCTGGATCTACACTACCAAATAATGCAGTTTCAGAACATGGCTTAACTGCATTGAACTGCATTATGTGAGTCTACATTGCCATGTAATCCAGTTCATTGCGGTTAATTTGCATTCCGCAACCGCATTATATGGCAGTGTCGATCCAGCCACAAAGTAGTCAGCCCTGGACAGATACTGGTCAATGAGCCACTGGCTGCTGGTTCTTAGGGCCCTTCCACACAACCCTATATCTCAGAATATCAAGGCAGAAAATCCCACAATATCTGCTTTAAATTGGGTTATCGGAGTTCACACTGCCATATATTCCAATTCAAAGCCGATAACGTGGGATTTTCTGCCTTGATATTCTGGGATACAGGGCTGTGTGGAAGGCCCTTGGAAAGGTTCCAGCAAAGGAAGACATGCCATATTTACTCAAAACTAATGCTCCCCTTTTTTGGCTACATTACCTTGCCAAAATTAGGGTGGGCATTAGATTCGTGTTTTTCATCGCTAGAAGCTTTGGTGTCTGTTTTTAACAAAGGAATTCTAAACAGGCACCAACTGTAATGACTGAATTACAAAGACTGCACTTTTTGCCACTACACATTACATTAGGCAGAAAATACTTTTTATGGGTTTCAGGGTTTTGAAAACTAGGTGCGCATTAGATTGGATGGTGCATTAGACTTTTGAAAATACGGTAATTGTTGGCAATAGGGTATAAATATGGTGCCAGTCCCAGCACACTGGAAATAATTTCTCCACCTCCCACAATAGATCATACAATATTGGTGCATGTTTACTGCCCACTATTACCAATCTAGGTCATGTTCACACACAAAAGATTGAGTGGGCAGCCGCGCTGCTAATCCGCAGGCCAGTGACTCTGTCTTACCGTCTCCTTTTCTGCGAGCGTCATTCATCATTTTGCCCTGGCATTTTGCTTCATGATGCCTCGCACAGTTTTCCTCTTGAAGTGGAGGTCGAGTCACAGGAGGTTTGTTAGGGCTCATGTAGGTATAGATTTTCGATTGACAGGCAAATAAGTTCTCCTAAAGCAAGGGACACAAAAGGTTCTGATATCTGGCTGCATGAGTTCATATGTCCCAAAACCCTTTCATTCTATGCAAGGGGAATTTGGCAGAGGCATCATGTTTCATGTGAGGCTTTCCACTATGGGCGAGACTTCAAATTATATGAACAAGTGGCAAGGATGGAAGCAGGAAAATGTGGCACCACAAAGTGTACGTGTGGGTACTTAATATTTTTTGTTGAATTTTTTGCTCCAAATACAAAAATAAGGAAATGAAAAGAAAAAAGAAGAAACAACTAGGATAGAGTCATAGACCACATACATAAAGTAATATAAACAGACCAAATCCCTAAAAGCTAGACTGATTTGAACCAGAAGCAAAATGTGTGTTTACATATATGTAAATCAGTAAAACCCTCCAACCATGAAACAAAGGATGGCGGCGATTGGTGTTTACAGTCTTTAAGTGTTTTTGCTGCAGTACAAGCTGAAAGATCCAGCCAGTTAAGTTCCAAGTCACAGGAATATAATTAAATGCGCATTAGCATCAACAATTTTCTCCAATGTTAACATGCTGCAAATGTGTTTAGCCAAGATAGGGAGAGCCCATGTGCCGGAGACAAACACATTTGCTCAGATGTAGATGCTCATGCAACTGATGGAGGATGACTTTGAAGTAACGAATGAGACCGAGAAGGAAAAAAGAGCCCTGCTGGGTCAGACCAAACAGCTAGTCTAGGGATCTGCGGTCTGCAAGTGGAAAGCCCGGAATCCCCCCAACGTCAACGTGACAGCAATCACAGAACCATACAAGGGCAGAGTTGGAAAGGACTCCGCGCGCACAAGCATCTTTGATAAACAGCCATCCAACCTTTTTCTTAAAAAAGACTCCAATGAATGTTCCTCTCCCGCTGTATTATCCAGGGCCATGGAGATTAACAAACAGTCCCCATTTTGAGTAGGTAGCCATCAGGAAAGGGGATGAAACCCATGGAAGATTTGCACTGCTGTGAATCCTTGTTCTCTTTCTCAGTCCCATGCGTTTGTCTGAGAGGAAGCCCACTGAACAGAGTGGGGTTGACTCCTGAGCAAAACGCTCACAGGATTGCTGTGCATTTTCTCTGGACCGGGTGGCAGCGGAGTGAATCTGATTAAAGCTGCGGAAATTAATCAGGCAAAATGAAGACGCTCACACTGCCGTAAGCAGACCAAGTGGGACAAAGAGATCAGCAGCTTGACATTTTTAAAGGGACAAACATCATACCCAGCTTTTGGAACGTGCACCATCAAAAGCAACGGGGCAAGGAATGGTCTGAAAGAAAGGATGTTTGCAGCCACCACTGTCTGCTTGGCAGGTTCTGAAGGGGTATGGCTTGAGCGAAATGGGAAAAGCGTGGCCCTGAGGCTGGGGAGGGAAGGGGGCTGCAAAGAACCCCCTGCAGAAATCATTAGGGCTGCACCAAGCATTGAGCTACAGCATCACCTTCGCTGGAAACTGGGAGAAAAGCGGAGAGTGCCGGAGAGTGCCAAGGCTCCCAGGCGCAGCAGCGCTCCCCATCCCATAGCCTCCTACACAAAGGATGAGGAGCAGCCCCATCTTCACTGCTTTGCGGAGGCACAATGCCTAACCTCCCCTGCACTCAAACAAGGCTCATTCCTCTTTTGAAATGAAATGAGGGTGGCATCCAAAACAAGAAGGGCAAGGAATCCAGACGGTGCTTGCAGCCTTCCCAATTGGTGGTCTCTGCTTTCCTTTCACACCCTTCCCAGCTTCACAGGGTTAGTACAAAGGGCTTTTTAAAAAGTTGTTTCTGGAGGGATCTTTACAATTGACTGGTCAGCCTAGGAAGTTTATGCCCTGCACACTCTGTATGTCTGGAAAACTAGGCTCTCGCAACCATTATAGGAATGGAACCTCTTTTTTTTTTTTTGGTTATACATTACGTGCAATGTATAACCAAAGGAATATCTTGAAAGAGCCAGTGAGTTTCGAGTTGTAGTGGTTTAAATGTTAGACTAGGATTCGGGATCAACCAGGATTTGAACCAACCAGGGTTCAAATCCCTGCTTCAACACGGAAATCTACTGGGTGACTCTCAGGGGAAGGCAAGAGCAAACCTCTTCTGAACCAATCTGGCCAAAAAATGAGAGGATCCCATAAGAAAGCGCTAACTCTAAGGCTTCTTAGAACAACACAAAACCATCTCCTTTGCTAGTGGGGAGGGAGTTAACGCAAAGGGACCATAACAATACTTGGAATGTTAAAAGGGCTAAATCAATACTAAGATTTCCATTGTATGGTTCATGATGATAAAATTAATGGTGTAATCAAAATCCGTCAACATGGGCACAAAGAGCAACCCTCGAGGATTTTGCCAACTGGAAAAGAGGCTGCCGTTACCCATCGTGGCCTTAGGAAAGAAATGGCTTCTGTAGAATTGCCGACAAACGTTAACCTTACATTTTGTGGAAGAACTGTAGCCCAGAGAGAAAAATGCATGCCTTTTGGCTCTTTGGACTCAGGGCTGAATCCAATTCAACAAACCGAGGGAAGAGGAGGCTTTCTTTCCCAGGTGGGTGAAGCCAAAAGCAAAAGCGTGGGATCAGAAATGCCATTTTAAAACTCCTTCTGCCAATAACTCCGCTTGGGAGGGGTGTTTCAATTTTTCCAGAACGGCTGGAAGGGAAATCATGGCTGAAAAAACCTAAAGGGAACAGATCCCATCTGATCTTTGCCACCAAGCAGGGTTAATCCTGGTTAGTCCTTGAATACTGACTATGTTTCAGAGGAAGAAACTGGCAAAAACATCTCCAATGAGTATTTGTTGCCAGAGAAGGAACTATGAAATGCAAAGGGTTGCTATTAAGTTAGCAGGTCACTTGAAAGGACATGGATATACACACAGATGGGAAGGGAATGTGGGCATCTACGGCTCAGCTATAGGGCCGGCCATTTCCCACTCCTGCTTTACGGAAGAAGAGCTCATCCTCGCCTCTATCTCCAGGCTGGAGTAGAGAAAGGATTAATGCTTGCAACCCTAGAGTATCAATGCAGGTCACTGCAGCAAATACTGAGCTTAGGAGGGACAATCCGGCTTCCAATATTCCTGTGTAATTTGGGGGAGGGTGTAAACCTAACTTGCTTATGAGGGAGAAAGCCCCACTGAATATCAGTAATAATAATACACTGGTCGACACACCTTTTGGTCCCTCAAATGTGAGCCCTATTTCTGGGCACATTTGTTCTGTTGATTCCAAAAATTGACCCGTTTTCCCCCATCAGCTCTAGTTTTTGAGATACGGAACATACAGCATCTACCTGTCACTCACAGATAATCGTGATAACCCTATCTAAGAAACTAGAGCTGATAGGGTCTATCTTAATGCCATTTTCTGAATCAGGGCCCCAAAGAACCCCAGGAACAGATTGAAAAATGCCAAGGAAAAAAAATGTTTGTTTTGTTTCTCCTATTGAGCTGTGTTACCCGAGAACCTAAGAAGAAAACAGAAACTTGCGGAGAACAGCTGGGCAGTGATAAGATCTGAGCCAATTGGCCAGAGTAACACCAGGGATTAATCTAATCCTAACCTGAAAGGGAAGGGCTCATTGTAATTGCTATGTGATCTGGGTGGCAACTTGACACCTCCGCTCCTGTCTGCAGCGCCTCTGCAGCACTGCTGACACAGCTCCCCAGCTGTCCCTTGAGAAGAAAGAAGAAGAGGCTGGGAGAAAAGGGTCAAGAAAGGAGATGCCGCTTGGGGGTGAGGGGACTACAGCTCCCAGCATCCTCCAGTCAGGATCCCTGCTCCGGCCTATGGCCAGTGGCTGACCTTATCCCCTCATCTGTCAAATGGGAAAGGAGGCAAGCTGGCTGAATGTGTGGCCAGGAGGCACAGAAGGAGCAGAAGCTGAAACTTAAAGTACTTTGCTCGCTTTTTAAAGAGCTGTATAAATGCCAAAATGCCAAAAAACACAAGAGATGCACCTATGGACCTTTGGAGCCCATCAAATGAGAGAAACATGCTTTCTAGTGATGCTTTCTAGTACACAGCTTTTGGTGCTTTTTTGTTGGTTTTTTTTTTTGGTCCAGCTTTTCAGGTTCATTCTTGCTGCTCAGCAGGCAGAAGAGCAAAACTAGGGCCGGGATTCAAACCCCTGCTGGAAAACAAGGCAATTTCCCCTCTATTAGTCCCTCGGACCCCAATGGCTCTGCACAGCTTCCAAAGTGCTAAGTGGCAGGGGTCAAGTGTCCAGTTCTGGGCACAGCAAGTCAAGGCGGTGATGGACAAGGCGGAAGGTGTTCCAAAAAGGGCAAACAAAAGGATCTGAGGCCTATTAGGAGTGGCTGAGGGAGCTGGGGGTGCGGTGCTTGGAGAAAAGAAGGGGGCATGAGAACAATGTTTGCATATTTAAAATGCTGTCCTGAGGAAGCGGGAGCAGGCCTTGTTTACTGCTAATCTGGAGACTCAGGCCCTTTCTACACTGCCATCTAAAATCCAGATGATCGGCTTTTTTGAACTGGATTATATGGCAGTATCAACTCAGAGAATCCGGTTCAAAGCAGATCATGTGGATGATTATCTGCTTGGATAATCTGGATTTTATATGGCACTAGAAGGGGCTTGAGGACTCTTCCACATTCTCCATTATCCCAGGATCTGATCCCAAATTACCTGTTTATCCCAGGTTATCTGGCAGTGGGGACTCATATATTTCAGTTTAAAGCAGATAATTAGGGATTGGACCCTAGGATAAAACTCTAAAACTCTAAAATAAGGACAGTAAATAAAGAACAACACTCAGAAAACAAGGGAATTCCAGACAGGAAACAATCAGGGTCAGTTAACACCTCCCAACAAAGGATCCCCTAGCAGGAAACAGCCAGGCTTTGAAGCTGAAAGGCTATTCAGTGCTAATCAAGCTGGCCAATGGCAACATTCCCACTTGTCTCCATCAGACAAGAGTTCTTTCTCCCATCTTGGACATCATTCCATGGGTGCGTGCATACATACATATACATATACATATATATATATCTCACTTGCCTAGTTTCCAACAGACCTCACAACCTCCGAGGATACTTGCCATAGATGTGGGTGAAACATAATAATAATAATAATAATAATAATAATAATACTTTATTTATATACCGCTCCATCTCCCCGAGGGGACTCAAGTAATATCACAAAACATACAGAGTAAAAACAACATAACCATAAAATTAACAAACAAAATATAAGCATGAAAATTGTCGCCATAACACACATATAGTAAAAGTAATCCTGCCTGTTCAAGGCAATTAAAAATTTAAAAGGCCGGGCCAAGATTTGTGCAAGCCCAAAAATTCTAGGAGGCCCGGAAATTAAGTGCAATGCTATGGCAGACAACAATAATATTAGGTACAGGTCTGTGGCTGTTCATTCCGGGGCCTATTAGAGGAAAGAATCTGGGTAACCGGTAGGAAGAATAAAGTCGTATTAGACAATGTGTGGGGCTGAGTTAGAACTGGTCATTTTCAAAGGCTTGTTGAAACCACCAGGTCTTGAACCTCTTATGAAAGGAGGGGAGGGATGGGGCCTGTCTTATTTCCCTTGGAAGGGCGTTCCAGAGATGTGGGGCCACCACTGAGAAGGCCCTCTCTCTCATCCCCACCAACTGCACTTGAGACGGTAGTGGGACCGAGAGGAGGGCCTCCCCAGAAGATCTTAGAGCTTGCGCCGGTTCATAGAAGGAGATGCGATCACGGAGATAGGTGGGGCCCGAACCGTTCAGGGCTTTATAGGTCATGACCTGCACCTTGAATTTGGCTCGGCAACTTATCGGCAGCCAATGAAGCTATTTCAATAGGAGCTGGAGTTGTATGCTCCAGTCTATAGTTTGCTCCAGTAAGGAGCCTGGCTGCCACCCGCTGTACCAGTTCAAACTTCCAGGCCGTCTTCAAGGGCAGCCCCACATCGAGCGCATTGCAACAGTCCAGTTTGGATGTAACCAAGGCATGGACCACCCTGGCCAAGTCAGACTTCACGAGGTATGGTCGCAGCTGGCGCACAAGATTGAGTTGTGCAAAGGCCCTCCTGGCCACCGCTGACACCTGAGCATCAAGCGACGGCGTTGAGTCCAGGAGGACCCCCAACCTACGAACCTGCGCCTTCAGGGGGAGTGCAACCCCATGGAGCACAGGTTGCCACC